GTCTTGGGTGAGGCAATCCCCCACCCTGCTGAATCTCACCCTCCTTGGGCTGCACCCACTGTCCAACCAGTCCCAATGAGATGAGCCAGGTGCCTCAGTTGGAAATGCAGAGGTCACCTGCCTTCTGTGTCAGTCTCACTGGGAGCTGTGCACCAGAGCCATTCCTATTCAGCCATCTTCCCAGCAATCCCCACTTTTTACTCTCTTGGTTGAGTTTATGTTGATCTCCTTTTGTCCTCATTATTTCTTCTCTGCTTTTCAACTGTTACAGCGGTTACCCTCAGTTTAACGAGCCTAATTAAAATTACAGATTCCTTTAACATCAAAATGTTAGGATTAACTCTCCCTCTGCAGTATACTTTATTTGCTGACTAATTGCCCAGTCATCAAAGTTGAAATATCCTTTAGGATACCTTTATTTTACCTTTCCGTACCTATGCTTTGTTGATACGTGATTATTTTTTAGCTTTTGATTGGCATTTTTATTATGGTATATTTCTTCCAATTCAAGAATCATAATTTGATGTTTATACCATGACAAAATTGTGATCACACCGTCATCCTGTAAGATGTAATTGTGCTGCAAAATTAATTATTCATTAGGTTTCCTGTCTTCATCTCCCTATCTAAACGTTTCTCTTCTGACTAAAATATTGATTCAGGGACTGCCTCAAGATTTCCATTGAGTAGGATACATGATATATCTAAAATCTTGCATGTCTTGAAACTCCTTGACATGTGAGGGGCTAGACACTGAGGTCTTTCTTCCTAGTCTACATTCTACCTGTTTTGGGAGTCTTCTGGTTTTCAGCACCAAAGAGGACAACTCTGATGTTAGACTTTATACACAACTTGTGTTGGAAGTCCAGGTTTTGAAATTTACCCTTGGAATTTAAAATTTTTACTAAAACATAACTGAGGGTATAGATGTGTTTTCTATTCATCCCACTTGCGACTAAGTGGGCCCTCACAAGCAGCAGATCAGAGAAACACTTCCTCTATTAGCTGTTTCTCTAATAGCTCTCCACTGTCTGTTCCACTTGGTCCTTTGGGACCTGCTTTCATGTTAGGTTCTGGGCATCTGTCCTCCCAGCCCAGCTGTTCCTTTCTTTCCATCTCAATGTGGGGTTGCTCTAGATTGTGAGACATTTCCTTCACATCATCTTTCGGGTCACTAATGCAGATCTCTTTATATGCCAAATTTCTTAATTCAACAATCAGGTCTTTTGTTTCAATTCCAGAAAGTGTTTTCCAGTACTCTACTTGGATGTCTTTGAAAGGTCCTATGAGTTATGTGTTATGGTTCTCATCTGAGGCTTCCAATGGCTCAGCTTCGACTAGCCATCTGTAGTACATGTGTACCTCGGTGTGTCTTCCCTTTTCCCATTGCATGCTCCTGGTTGTGTGTGTTTAGTAGTCATGTCAAACTGTTGGGTGATGGTTGATAAACACAGCAGTTTCTGCTCTTTAGAGCCAGCACTGAGCAAACTGACCACAACTTTAGCTGGTGAGGCATAAGGAGGGCTTTTGTGTCCATCCGGGTCTCCCCAAGTGTAAGGAAATCTTTCCTAACCCCAAAAATCAGGACCAGCTCAGTGCCAGAGTGCAGCTCCCAGTCCTAGATCTCCACGATTTTAAAGTGTGAGCCCTTCTACACAGGGATTCATGCATCTGCTCTGGGATAAGCCTTCATCTAGTTGACAGCATCCTGGGTTCTTTGCTGTTGTTGTTTTCACTCTAAATAGGGGCCTCTCTATCCCTTGCACATTAGCTCCTACCCAGCACAAAACAGAACCCAGTCCACCCAGGGTCAGTACTCAACAGGTCCTAGGACAGCCAGTTTTCTCAAATGTGCCCTCCAGAAATTGCCCGTTTGCCCATGGAAGATGATGAATATTTAAGCTTCCCTAATTTCCCCAGTCCCATTCTTCTGGATCTGACCATGTTAAATCATTGCAGTGGAGGCCCATTGCAGTTAATGGCAAGATTGGATATAATACATCAACTTAAGAGAAACTATTTACTTTCAGAGAACAATTTGACATGCATGTAAAAATACATGGTCCTTTTTTCTTTGGTTTATTATTCCATTGCTAAATATCTAGTCTTGGAAAATAAGTTTTAATCAGAAAATGTTACATGAAGACCTATATTATTTATAAAGTAAAAAATTGCCAATGACTTAACTCTCCATTAGTAGGAGAATGACTAAGTGAATTAGGACCCACACCTGATGAAACGGGCATCAATGGCTTTAAAATCACGTAAAGTCATCTGTGAAGAAGAAAAGGGCACCTGTTTGAATCCAGCTATGGAAATATCTACAAAAAACCATAAGGCAAAGGAACTCTACCAAGATGCTAACAATGGTTAGATACAGGCTGTTTGTGAGGATTCTTTTCAACTCCCCCACTTTGGTTTCCTTACATCTTAAATAAAATACAGTAGGTAATAAAATGGTGCTAAAATTACTCTTTATAAACTAAACATACTGCTTACAAAGTAAAGGACTGCGACTTGATAAGGAAATTGTGACATGTAAATGGCTTCTTCCGAAGGGGTTTAAAGTGCTAATTGACAGTTTTCTGGGGCTGTAAACTCAATCTCAGCAAATGTTTTATGAGTAAACTGCATCTCAGCCCTTACTGGGTCAATCATTTGCTCAAGTCTGTCTTGAGGCTGTTGACCAGAGTTTCTCCCTAGCTTCCAGAGGATATGGTGATAAATAAAACCAGGCATGACCATAGGCATTAAGGAGAAAGCCCAGGTCTACTGAATGCAATTCAGCTCAGCTTCCAAGAGCGACTCCTCATTGCTATGTGGACAGAAATGCCAAGCTGCACCTGTGAGTGTCACAGAACCAGGTGACAGATGTGGAATTCAGTGAAATCTCGAGAGCTAGCAGCTGAACTGAAGTTTGCACATACACAACTCTTCCTCTAAAGCTTTCAGAAAGCAGATTTGTGAGCGTCAACTTTCCATTTAGAACCCCACACAACGCCCCTGACTCCCTACAGTGGCAGCCCCAACAGCAGCTCAGGCATGAAGCTTCCCTCATCAAGGAAGTCAAATCTGCATCAACACAATTTTCTTTTAAATAGACTAATTTTCTCTGCTGCTAGGGATACCTAATCACTTAAATTATTTATGTTTCCAGTTGTTTACAGCAGCCTTGCAGAGCAGCACCCAGGCAAATGCTGCCCTACCACCATCTAAAACCATTTTTATCACTTAACCTTTCTGTGAAATGTCTGCAGAGGGCCTTTTATATAGAAAGAGAGGCAGCGCGGGTCCCTTGCCCAGGGCAGGAGATGGATAAATCCCAGATCCTTCGGTGACCTGGGGAAGGGTAAGCTTCACTAAGCAAAGGGTCTTCAAGCTCACTGGTTTAAGGCTTCTGCTAAACTCCAGGTTTTACAGTTTTACCATTCAGCTAAATAACTGATCCCACTAATTCTATATCTGAGTATTGATTCTAAGGAAAGAATTCTGGCATAAAGGAGGAAAAGGGTACTCACCTGAAGCTGTGGGAGATCACCTTATGCTCAGCTCGGGGAGTGATTAATTTATGGTTGGTCTACTTGATGGAAGACTTCTACATTCATATAAATGCTGGTGATGTTTGTTTTATGCCATCAAAAAGTGATACTGTCTCAGGTTTTTTAAGTCTCGGGTTTTTACTGCTCTTTCTTCCCTTACTATTTTTTTTTCCTTGAGACAGACTCTCTCTCTGGAGTGCAGTGGCACAATCTCAGCTCACTGCAGCCTCCGCCACCCAGGCTAGAGCAATCCTCCCACCTCAGCCTCCCAAAGTGCTGGGATTACAGGTGTGAGCCACTGTTGCCTGGGTTTCTCTTGTTTTTGCATTTTCTTTCATCTCAATGCTCCGGAGTGGAAAACTACCAAAACTGCAAAAGCTGATCATAGGGAAACAGCTATGCAGAAAAGCCTAATATTCCCTCCTCTGAATTTTTATTGCATGGACTATTGTTATGGCTGTTCAAAGGTCCAGATATCACTGTTTACTTCTTTTAGCCAAATTACAGACCTTGATTTCTCTGTCTGGAACACAACCAAAATGAGGAAACAAGATGGGTATCCGGGGCACTGACCCAGCCCACATCAATCCACTGGGGTTCAGAAGCATGGTTTTTTTTAGATTAGCCAAAGAGAATCCAAGTGACCACAGAATGCATTCAGCCCATGTCGAGCTTTGCAGTTCTGCAGTAGAGGGAATGAAAAGATCTTGGGAGATTGTGTTGGCTACCAGTCAGGCACTGCAAAAACACAGGCCTGGTATGTGGGTCTGAGCCTATAAGAGGGGCCATCCTGGAGACTCTGAAGCCCCAGAATCACAGTAACTACTCCGTCATCTACCCAAACGCAAGCCCTGACTCCACATAGCATGGAGCTCCATTCTTAACCCTTCGTCCTGAGCAACCTTGCCACATTTTTAAATATAGTTCAAGACCAAGCCTATCCAAACTGCTTAATCAAAGGAGAGACTCAAGCCTGGGAAAATCACAAGAACCAGGAAGGAAGTCTCCTCCAGTCTTCTCTAGAGAAAAGTTGCGATTTATGCATTTTCTCCCCCAGGAGAGGCCAAGACATGCCTTCCTTGGAGGCTCTCAGACTTTTTGAGAGGATACCCAAAGACCCACTGGCACCATAAAGGCTGAGTCTTACCTAGGAAGGCATCATCGGGCCTGCCTCTTGCTGAAGTGAAAGCAGGAGGAACTTAGGAGCCCCGGCACACTTTCCAGCTACACTGCCTACACAGAATCACACAGCATTCCCCAAAGGAGAAGGATGCTGGGAGGGAAAACCCAGGGAAACTGGGGGATTAGCAGAAAGGAATTCTTGTATGATGTCGTCTCATGCTTGGCCTAGATAATTCTCAATGGGCTTAAGTACATCAGCTAATGGTATTCATAGGCCATTTCTACCCTAACCAGGAGGCACAAAGCTCAGGGAGCCCTCACTGTCATTTCTCTACTCACCAGGACTGGCCGCATTTCACAGAAAACCAGGAGGGAAGCCAGCTCGATGTCCTCACTGTACCCATTCTTCAGAGGAACAGATCTGAATCCTGAAGCAGAACAGGGAGGAAAACGCAAAGGCAAGTAATTAATGTCAGACCTTGTATTTTTTTGGAGGATACCCAGGAATCCTAGGCCTAGTTCAAAGAGTAGAGAAGTCAGTGCCCCATGTTGGGGGCTGACTTTTTGGAAGCCAGAGGTCCCATCCTGATGGTTAGGGACAGAGGCTGGCAGCCATGACTGATGGGTCTACACAGGGAAGCAAGGTTAAAAATATCTACCATCTAGATATAAAAATGATTCACTCAGAAGAAATTAAAACCCACAGAACATTCCACATTGAATGCAGTGATTGCAGCTGTGGTTCAATTCCTTAAATACTCCTGAGACCTAAAGACTCAAGAGTAGTGAATCCTCATCCATTTCCTCCATTTAGACCCTTGCAAAGCACAGGACCAGAAACTGTGTTTTACCTTTAAAGATTTCCAATGGGAGGAAATCTTTCTGTCCCTTAGCAGTTCATAGCAGTATTGATCATCTTCCTCTGAAAGCCATTCCCTGTTTACAATTAGGACCTGTGTTTGACAGTCTTTTAAATGTTTCTTTTCATTTGGGGCTGAAGCAGGGGTGAGTTGGAGCTGAATCTTTCCACCCCCATTCAGTCATGTTTAAAGCAACACATCTCAAAGGTTGGTTTGCTGGCTTGTTTTAATTAACATAAAAGCCCATTGGGCTAAAATAGCTGTCACTCCCACCCAGTCCTCCTCTCTCTCCTAAAAGGAACCATTGCGTTCCCAAGGTTGCTTGTGCCATACATTTGAGTTGCTTTTAAATCACAAATGACAGTGTCTTACCAGTTAGCATTGTATCTTAGAGATCCCTTCTGTGGTCCTAGTTAGTCTTGAAAGCATTTCTGTCATATCTACTGATTCTCCAAGACAAGCAATGCCCAAAATAGGACCTCCCACTGTTTCCTCTGTGCCTTCCACCATTCAGATTTTGGGCTTATTTCTCTTGGAACATTTTATACTCTCAGTTGATTTATCACCTTCAAACACTATCCATTGAATTTCTCACTTCTCACTGCTTATGAAGAGGAAAGTTGAATACTTACACAAACCTGTGCCTTTTCTCCTTTTACACCCCTAAGGTGTGTTTTCATTTTTGCATGGACATAGTGTATAATATTTGTGTTCCATTTTGTAACTGTAATTCTCCCACAAAGGGAGCTCATGGTTTTCTGGCATTTTAGTGTAACATTCTTAAACACACAGCAATGCCAAAAAAATATTACAAGGAACACTTGTATGCCCACCACCTAAATTCTACCATGAAAATTTTACTCTGCAGTTGTCCCTTGATATCTGTGGGGGACTCGTTCAGGACTTCCCCAGATACCAAGGTTGCTCATGTCTGTAATCCTAGCACTTGGGGAGGGCGAGGCAGGAGGATCACTTGAAGTCAGGAGTTCAAGACTAGCCTAGGCACCATAGCAAAACCTCATCTCTACAAAAAATAAAATAAAAAATTTAGCCAGGCACAGGGATGCACACCTGTAGTCCCAGCTACTCCGGAGACTGAGACAGGAGGATTGCTTGAGCCCAGGAGTCTAAGGCTGCCATGAGCTATGATCATACCGCTGAATTTCAGCCTTGGTGACAGAGGAAGAACCTGTCTCTAAATAATTAAATGGTGTAGTATTTGCATATACCTAGTCACATCCTCCCATATACTTTATCTCTAGATTACTTTAATACCCAAGACAATATAAATACTGTGTAAATAATTGTTATACTGTCAAAGGATAAGAAAAAAGTCTGTATATGTCCGATACATAATTTTTTCAAAAATATTTTCAAGCCAAGCTATGTTGGTTGGGTCCACAGATCCAGAGGGCCACCTGTACTTGTTTTGTCACCTATTTACCCACGCAATTCAAAGTAAGACAAAGACATCAAGATACTTTCCCAAGCATGCATCTCACCAGCCAGAGCTCAGTATTACTTTATAGGGTTCCTCTTCTGATATAAAGTTTTATACCTAATGAAATGTATAGATTTGTATTTTTTAATGGCTGGATGCTCATCTGCTTCTTACTGAACTCCTGTCTGGATGTCTTCTTTGGCCAAATTTGTCCTCTTTTGTTCTCTTCAAATTCCTGAGCTGTGCATGTTTCAGCATATCCATCCTTTGATTTTATAGTTGAGTGACAGTTTGAGTGGGTATAAAACCTGAATGTTTTCCCAGCAGGGTTTTGAGGACATTGCTGTCACTGAATATACTGCTGTAAAGAAGTTTTCTGACCGCTTTCATGATTTTTGTTGCTAGTTTTTTGTCTTGAGAGAGACTTACAGAATTCTTGCAGTCTAGCCCAGTGATGTGCCAACACTAATGCAGATGTGAATCACCTGTCAATCTTGTTAAAATGTAGATTCTGACTTGGGAAGTCTGGGTGAGGCCTGAGATTCTGCATCTCTAATGAGCGGATCTGTGGGCAGTGGGGAAGAAGTTAGTCTATGATACGGTTTGGCTCCGTGTCCCCACCCAAATCTCGTGTTGGAGGTGAGACCTGGTGGGAGATGACTGGATCACAGGGGTGAACTTCCCACTTGCTGTTCTCATGATAGTTATCACAAAATCCAGTTGTTTAAAAGTGTGCACTGCCTCCCTCTTCCCTTGCCCTCTCTTCCTCCTGCTGGCCATGTAAATATGTGCTTGTTTTCCCTTCTGCCATGATTGTAAATTTCCTGAGGCCTCCCCAGAAACAAAAGCCTATATGGCCTGCAGAACTGGGAGCCAATCAAGCCTCTTTTCTTTATAAGTAACATGGTCTCAGGCATGTCTTTATAGCAGTGGGATATAGTCTAGGTGCTGATTAACTGTTAGCAAGCACTGGTATGTCTGTTTGCTCCATGGTGTTCTGGGAGCTATCAGGTAGCCTGTACAGTCTGATAGCATGGTTCCAGGCAAGACAGTGCTATCTGACACTAGGCATGTGCTTGTTAATTACAAGATATTAGCTCTGCCCCCCCATGGCCAGCTCTCTGCAGCTCCTTGTACCTCGTCTCACTGCACAAGTTCCATTTTTATGCACTGGACAGCCCTCTATGTATACTGGAGTCTGTGCTGAAACATATTTCCCATTTCACCCAAAACAGAATTGTTTTTCTACTTGTTGTTTCTGGTCATTTCACAGGGGAAAGGGAAATAAAGACACCTTTTAAAATAAGATCAATGCTTCAGACTCCGAGCATCCAGTGAGAGGGCAGCCTGCAGAGGAGGAACAAGGGTTCAAAATCAGATGTTCCTGGGTTTGAATCCCGTTTCCGTTCCTACAGGTGTGTGACCTTGAGCAAGTTAATTCAGTCTCTAGGCCTCAAAGTGCTCAGATTTTTAAAAGCTGAGATAAAGCCCCTATCACAGGATTACTGTGAGGATTAAAAGCGGAAGACTTTAAGGTACACAATACAGGCTGCTGCTTTCCTTCCTGCACTCCAGGTGATTTAAAAGCTTAAGTGCATCCCTAATGACAACGGGTGAAGTTTATTTTTTGAGTCTGGAAGACCTCAGTGCCTCCTGTTCATTTTGTCTCATTCCTCCCATGAATATGGATGTGCCAGGCACTGCTAGGAGGTAGAAAGGAGTGAGGAAAGGTCCCTGCGAAGAGTATCTCACAGTCAGGGGAGGATGGGGTCACATTTTTAATCTCCCTTGAGGTTCTCACCTTTGTTTTTTCTCAATCTCCAAGCTAAGTCACCGCATTCTGCAGAAGAATTGACATGCTTTGATATCAACGCGTGGAGGAGGTTTTATCAACGCTGACATCTCTGCAAGGCATTGGGAGGGGTTTATGAGGCTCACAGCCCTCATCCTTCAAGAGGACATCAAGGTAACCAGGGGGTTTCAGCACACTTGCCCTTCTCTGCTGGACTCATCCAGCAGAGCAACTGGCAAGTAGTTCCCACGAAAAGAAATCTGATACAGCAGCAAGGCCAGGAACAAAAAGATTTACCAAAAGCTACACTTCCTGCACCAGAAGAAACAGTGTCGTTCCTAAGCCTTATAAAAGAAGAAAATTAATCACAGCCTCATTGCTGGGTTTAAAGCGGTTTATAGGCCAGGCACAGTGGCTCATGCCTGTAATCCCAGCATTTTGGGAGGCCGAGGCAAGTGGATCACTTGAGGCCAGGAGTTCCAGACCAGCCTGATCAACATGACGAACCTCTATCTCTACTAAAAATACAAAAATTAGCCAGAAGTAGTAGTGTGCACCTGTAGTCCCAGCTCCTCGGGAGGCTGAGGCAGGAGAATTGCTTGAGCCACGGAGGCATAGGTTGCAGTGAACCAAAAACACACCACTGCACTCCAGCTTGGGTAACACAGGGAGACTCTCAAAAAAAAAAAAAGGTAGTTTACAATGTGGGTGAGTTAACCAAGGAGTGTTGCCAAGTATTAGGCCTCTTAGAAATGAATACTCACTATTATGGCTAGAGTAGCAATGTTCATGAAAATGAACATTTCTGGAGTGCTAAAAAAAAATGAGAAGCTTTAAACATTTTCTCAAATTCTTGTTTCATCGATTACTTTCTGAGGAATTCATTTCCTCAATGGGAAGACAGGCAGTCTTGACAGAGCTTGGTTTTCTGAAAGTGCCCTCCCGGGGCCATCTGAGGAGCTGGCTAGATATGCAGATTCCTGGGCACTACCCTGGGCTGACTCAGCTCCCCGTGGTGGGTCCAGGAACCTGCATTTTCTTTTGTTGAGAGTCTCACTCTGTCACCCAGGCTGGAGTGCAGTGGCACAGCCTCCCAAGTAGCTGGGATTACGGGCCTGAGCCATGGTGCCCGGCCAGCACCTGCATTTCTAGCATGCCTGCTGCTCAGAAATTGGGCTCCTGCCCAGTAGCAGAAATAGACAGGTTTATGATATCATACTAAGAAAGGTGGAAGTTGAGGAAATGTCTGACATATTCCAAGTTACAAAAATGAATAAGATCCAATTCAGCTCTGCATTAAACCCCAGGTTTCCAAACAACATCAAAAGACTGTATTTTTATGTAAGTAACTAAAATGACAGTCATCTTTCTCCCTTAGAAAACAAGGGAACAGTGACCTCCTGAGGAATCCAGAAGAATGAATCTATGATCTCATGTACCGTGCATCAGAAATACCAAAGGAAGGGGAAGAAGGGAAATTCAACATCCAGCAAGGGCCTGTTTGTCAAACACTACACCTAAAATCCAGTGGGAAAGTCAACTAAAGAAACTATATACAAGCTAAGGAGAGCCAGTTTGTTTGTTTTGGTAAATGACTGGCTCTAGAAGCAGCAAGGTCCCAAATCGCGTCACCTGGAGGTGTCTGTTTGTCTATCTCCGCTGTGCACGAGGGGCCCAGTCATCTGGGATTGAACGGGATTCTTAAGAGCTGGTCCTATGACCCAACTTGGCTTGTTTGCCAAAAGATACAAAAGGACCCTTTTCATACCATGAAGGGGTTTTGTGTTTTGTTCAGCATGGAAGAAAACTCTGACAATTCAAAGAAGTTAATCAACCCTCTCAATTTTATAGAAGAGGAATGTGAATTCTGAAGGGTTTGGAGAGTTGGTCTCTCGAGATTGCAACTCTCTGCAGATGCCAAAGGCCTCTCCCTTACCACCTGCTCACACTGCCAGCCAGAGAGCGAGATCAAACCAGACCTAGCCCTGGCTAGGAAGAAGCAAACCGCGTGTAACATTTCAAAATGAAATCAAACTACAGTGCCAGGTTGGCAATCCACTAACAATCCAATTTTGCATGTAGACATCGCATGCCGAGGGGCATAGCCTCCCCCCACCTGTGTGCAACCCAACAGACTGTACATGCACCAGCTCTCCAAGCCACCCAATTGGTTTTACAGCGATTCCATCCAAACCAGGAAAAATGACTTTTCATTCTTTTTTTTTTTTTTTGAGACGGAGTTTCACTCTTGTTACCCAGGCTGGAGTGCAATGGCGCGATCTCGGCTCACCGCAACCTCCGCCTCCTGGGTTCAGGCAATTCTCCTGCCTCAGCCTCCTGAGTAGCTGGGATTACAGGCACGCGCCACCATGCCCAGCTAATTTTTTTTTGTATTTTTAGTAGAGACAGGGTTTCACCATGTTGACCAGGATGGTCTCGATCTCTTGACCTCGTGATCCACCCGCCTCGGCCTCCCAAAGTGCTGGGATTACAGGCGTGAGCCACCACGCCCGGCCCTGACTTTTCATTCTTTTTGAAGACAGCAGCCAAACCCAAGTACAATACCAGCCCAAACTGAACATCCTAATTAAAATGCCTCTTACCTGATTTGATTGCTTTAATGGGGTAAGTGGCATGAGCAAGAAAGTTGGGATCACTGAACATATCTTCTTCGTAAACCACAAAGCGCAGAAATGCCAGGTTTGGGTCATAAATTTCAAATGTCACCTTCTCCTGTGTTGGAGCCCAGATAGGGCTGAGGCCATTATCATCTGGAAGGAGGTGAAAGCTCATTAGAGGCCACATTGAGCTGCCCTTTCCTGGTAAGACAATCTCTGCGTTCTTCAGCCATGAATCCCCTTGGCAACCGTGTAAATAAATACGCATCCATGCCAAGATCTAAGAAAACCTGAATAATTATCTTCACTCCCCCACCCCACCTGGTGCAATCCTGGAAGCTGCTGTTGCAGACGGGTCTCTTGGTGAGCAGAGGAAGGAGATCACCTCCCATCTACCCTCTCCGGGATCGGGGATGAAGGGAAGGGGGAGGTGTTTGCAGAGCTGGGAGGTGGATTTTGGAAAAGATAAAAGGGGAGAAGAGAGCCCAGGAGCCACATCTACCAGCAGGGAGTCCTACGGCTGCCAGGGGAGAGCCCAGCCTCACAGAGCAGCCTGGAAGCAATCCTGCCACTCTTCATACATGCCCGTTTACTTGGTCAGCATCTGAGTTATTCTAAGGCAAGGATCCTGTGCCTTAGAAGGCCCACCATTCACGGTTCCTTCCCAGCTTTTCCTGGAAGAGCAAGCCTTCCTCTTTTCCCTCCTGCCTTCTAGGGGCTAAGATCCCCCAGGTTAGGCTGATGTTCTGGCTCAGGTCAGCCATGCAGAATCACCCTCTCTCTGTCTCTGCCTCTTGGCCTTTGACTCAGAAGATCAATCAGACTGGGCTATTTCACAGAGAGGACTTATCTAGTGTCAGGGTGCAGTGGGTGAGGGCCTCACCTAGGGTTCCAGACTTGAGTGACAGGCAGGCAAGCAGCACTGGGGAAAGTCTAAGGATTTAACAAAGTGGCCATTTGTATCCCCTCCTCAAGCTGAGCCACGTGGGCAATAGGAAAGAATATCCTGGGACAGCAGAAGTGCATTGCAAAATCCCTCACGAAGAGCATCCCCACAAAGGATTCACTGGCTGGACATGCAAAAGCAGAGGGGCCAAGGCAACTTACTCACAACCGTCGTTTTGAACTTGTTGTTGTCATACTCAGCTCCACAGATCTCCACCTCTACAAAGGGACAGGCAATACTTCTTCCAGGTTTGGGGAGATGGCGAGCACCGAGAACCTGGGACACCGAAGGTAAGCGTTGGAACCCCCCGGGTACCTGCTGGCAAGAGCTGGCCACATCCTGAATAGGTAGCCTCGCATGGAGTTCTCACTGGGTTCTAGAGTGACACTGTATGAGTTCAGTGCCAGCCCTGATTTTCCCAAATTCACTGGAGAAGCCATAGCAACCTTCTGCAATGCACGAAGGTGGGCTGTGGTAGATCTACAGTTCCTCAGCATCAGCCTGGGTCTTGGCCCCCCATGCCACCTGACCTAACAGGTAAAACTCACCTGCGCTCATGAATGCACACACATCCATGCCCAAGTAGATGCCTTTGATCAAGGCACAGTTTCATCACTGGACTTCCCCACCCCTAGGAAAGGCTGGGGACAGCGTGGCATTCTTTTTGTAACTGCTGTTTAAAGACCTTTGGTTATGTATGCTTCTTGCCCCCTGGTCCCGCCCTTAATCTCATAAGAAATGCAGTTCCTTTCTCTACCTTCTAAAGATTCTTACAAAGTAACACTTTCTGTCAAAGTCAGATGAATTTTTTAAAACCCTGGAGTTGGACAAAGTAGGAAAAAAAAAAACAAAAAACTTCTCCATAAGACCAAATGGCCATTTCACATGTTTTCTTTCTCCTTCTGGCCAGAGGCTGACCTCACTGGGACCCCAGAAAGATGGGTTCATACGTCACCCCCACAGCTGACAAGGGGAAGTGACCAAGATGGGTTTGAGGAGGTTTCCCTTGCCTCTTCTCCCAAAAGGACCCTGGAGTATAAGAAAGAAAGATCCTCAAACATGGCCTGAATGTTAATAGTGTAAACAAGACAAGAAGCCTCCCTAGCCACAGGTTCCCTGCTCTCAAGGCAGTGTCAGCTCAGCGCCCAGGGAGGGCAGCTGGCTCCCCTGGCAGGAAGAAGGGCTGGCTTTACCTTGACAGTCAGCGTCATCAGGATCTTCCTCTGGGACTCAGGTGGCATCGGGTCGTATTTCTCTGTCCTCATGCTCTCAGGCTGCAGAACGTAGCCCGTGCGCCCATTGAGAGAAAACAACGCGTGATTCATCTGCATGTACTTATCTGGGAAGGAAAGTGAACTCCTGCTGTAAGTCAGGCACCAGAACGCTGGCCTCCTAGGCCAGGAGTTGCTAGGTGGGGAATGAATTACACCTTTTCCCAAAATTAATTTGAGGCAGCTGTTCAAATAGGTATTTCACTCAAAGAACATACAGGGTTTCTAGACGACAAAATCTAAGACTGGGCAACACCTTTCTAAGTGTGTCAGAAAATCCCGAATCATAAAAGGTTCAAACTTACTAAAAGCTAAAAGTGTCTATATAGAAATAAATCACGAGTTTATTTTAATTCAAATGACAAATACATGAGCATAAATTTTTAACCTCTTAGTTCTGATATACCTATGCTATGAATCCCAACTGCATTAGATACATCGAGTAAGAAGGACAAATAGTTTGCAGAAAAGGAAATGCAATTCCTCCCTAAATAAGGAGAAAACTGGTTGATGTCGCTTACAAGAAGCAGCACTAATGGACTATAGTTTATCAGTTTTCACCACTCAGTTGTGCAAACGGCGAAAAGCTCAACAAAACTCTATTAAGTTATACCAAAAGAGTGTACCCTAACCTCCAACTATTTACATTCTCACCTACGATCTCTATGAAGGGGGTTTTGGCAACGTGGCTTAGCTTGGGCACACCTGCAGGCAGGTCTTCAGTGGTTTTCTTCAGGACAAAGTTTATCAAACTGCAAGTGCTGTCTGACTCCCCCTGCCCTTCGGAGAATCTGTCCTACAGACGTACTCCTGCATCTGTGGAATGGCGCTCACATAGCTCACGTACAGAAAGCAGTGCTGTCTGCGACAGCGAATAATGGGGAATACCTACATGTGCCTCCACGGGGACTTGTTAAATAAATGATGGTTCCATGCAATGGAATCCAATGCGGCTATAAAAAGAATGTAAAGGAGGCTACTGATGAATAGATCCCCCAAAAGAGGTTTTAAAGAACAATAACAAAAGCACAAAGCCCTGTGATTTATGGGACCACGTTGTGTCCAGAAGTTTGTGTATGCTGGAGATGCCGACATGGGACTGTCTCTGGAAGAAAGTCTGAGCCCAAAGCCCTCACAGAGTGACAGGCCTAGAGAAGACAGCGCCAAAGATGCTTTAGCTACATGAGTTCATGCAGTTTTTCTCCTAAGCTAGACTACACCTCAGCCTCTGGCGCTTGCAGTCATGAAGCCTGCCTCAGCCAAGCACCTGTTGGTCCTCTCATCCCTCCATTCAGCTGCTGGACCTCATAGTAACCAGCACTCTGCTGAACTGCGCACTCCCTCAGACAAATCACTCATTCCTGGACACCACCTTGCACTGCTAACCCAAGCTGACTTGGCCTGGAGTGACTGCCACTGCCACCTTGCAGGGACAGGACTACCTTCAGTCCATCTTTACCTGCCGTCTGGAAATTGAGTGCCACCATCTGAGAACCGCACAGCCAGAGGCGGAAGGGGTCATAGTTGGAAGAGTCAACTCTTTGTCCCTTTGGGTAGATGCGGGTCAGGCCCTTTTGATTGTACTTGAGGAGGTCGACGGGCTTCTGTCTGATGATGCTGTCGGCCTTTGTCTCCACAAAGGAGCGGATTTCTCTAAAGTCAGGATTTTCTGCACACAGAGAAAAAGGTCATCACTTACTCTGTGTCTCATCTGTGCATTTTCTTAAATTTTGCTGCAATGGCTGGATGTTCAGATTATAAAAGGAAACCAGGAAGCTCTCTCATTAACAAGACATTCAAGGGATTCTGATGATATTGTCCTAAAGTGCATCACTATGGACTCTTGCCCTCTCGGAGTTCCAAGTATTAAAAGGGGGCCTAGTTTTCCCACCACCTTTTAATCTAGAGGTATTGTAATTTACTTTATCAACATCCTTGAACAAGAAAACACAAAAGTGATAACAGTTATAGAAGAGGAAGAATGGGAATGGTTTTAGGTAAGAGAAGATCTTTGGAATGGAAGATGCAAAGAGACCTGATTCCTCATCAAACATATCACAGACACAACATGAACAAACTGAGAATCACCCGCCACTGCCCCCAGGTAGGGTTGCGATATGGGTGGGCTCCTGCGCAGGGAAGGCAGAGAGAATGGGAGGAGAGGGAAGGGGACAGGCCTCATCTTGGCTGCCTCCCATCCAGCTGTGGTGGGACAGCCAGGCAGTCAACATGCTGAGCCTGCTGAGTCCTGAGCTTTGCCATCTGTCCCTTAATGTAGAGGTTCCTATGGACCAGCCTCCCAGTAAGTTTACTCAGGGGTCTAATATAGTCTTGCTGGTCTTCTAAGATGAAAGATACAGAAGCGGCTCAAACACCCAAAGAAAAAAGTAAAATATGCACGGCATCATCAAAAAGCTTGCTGCCTGGAGAATTTGGTAGAAAATCCTTTTGTTTTTTCTAATACCATATCTGTGGTAGGCTGAGTAATGACCCCCGACGATGTGCAGGCCCTAATCTCTGGAGCCTGGACATGTGTTACTTTATATGGCAGACCAGATTTTGCAGGGGAGCTTGAAATGGGAAGCTTATCCTGGAATATCCAGGTGGACCTAATGCATCACAAGGGTCCTTATAACAGCGAAGCAGAAGAGAAGGCCATGATGTGATCACAAGCCAAGGAATGCCAGCAGCCCCCAGAAACTGGGAGAAGCAAGGAATGGCTTTCCCCTCTGGAAGGAGCACAGCCCTGCTGACACCTTGATGTTGACCCCATGGTACTGATTTCAGATTCTGGCCTCCAGGACACGCAAGAATAAATTTAAGTTGTTTTCAGCCACCAAGTTTCTGGTAATGGCAATAAGAGCTAACCCACCAACTGGGTGATATGCTTTGGCTGTGTCCCCACCCAAATCTCACCTTGAATTGTAGCTCCCATAATTCCCATGTTATGGGAGGGACCTGGTAGGAGGTAATTGAATCATGGGGGCGGCTTCCCTCATACTATTCTTGTAGTAAATAAGTCTCAGGAGATCTGATGGTTTTGTAAGAGGTTTCCCCTTTCACCTGGTTCTCATTCTCTCTCATCTGCTGCCACATAAAATGTGCCTTTCACCTTCCACCATACTTGTGAGGCCTCCCCAGCCACGTGGAACTGTGAGTCCATTAAACCTCTTTTTCCTTATAAATTAACCCATCTCAGGTATGTCTTTATCAGCAGTGTGAAAACGGACTAATACAGTGGATTTTCCTAGAGAGACACCAAAAGGGCTTCCTCTACCAGCTCCCTCACCCACAGGACAAACCCAAAGTGAGGTCATCTACCTGAAGCATTTAAGAACAGGAGAACGCACTCACTCTCCCCTCTCTGAAAATACCAGACTCGAAAGGAAGTAATAGTTTTCACTGCAGTTATAGGGCAGACTCCTGGTAAAGATGTTTACCTAAGTTGTCCTTGGTTTTGCTGGTTGGTTTGCAGTAGACAACCAGGTCAGAGAGCTCGATGGCGATGGACTGGTTCTTCTCCCAATACTTCATGTTGTTCTCCTGTTTGGAGTTCACCATCTTTAGTGCCCGCCCCTGAGAAAGCCCACCTTCCCAGTTCACCCTGTGCTCTTCCTCCTCCATCCCCACTTTGCCTTCTTGCATGCTCGGATCTTTAATATGGTTGGATGTTTTCCCTTCCTAAAGACAACACTGCCCCTCTCGTTTCTTCCTCTGTCAAAATTCTTGACAAAGCTGTTTCCACGAGGATTTGGCATCCAGCTCACGCCTGGCCACAGCCCTCAAATATAGATGGGGTCATGATGGCAGGGGAAGGGGACTCCTCACCATCACCATCCCTCTGTCCTTAGCTCTCTGCCTCCTTTCCTTTCCCCTAAAACCACACTGTGGTTAGAGTATGTTGAATTCTAGTTCTTCAAATCCTCATGCAGTCTGTGGACCTCAGCCTCCTTGTCATAATTCTCTATCCCCTGCACCCTCAGAACCTGCAGACCTGCTCCCCACATCTGACTGCTCATCAGTGCTCTGCCCAAGGGGACTACTACCCAGGGCCCAGGCCATGTGCTATAAACTCGAGAAGCAACTCTCTTCGAAGAACCCACTGTCAAATCTAACTCCTTGCATGTAAGGATGAGCTTCTCACTTCACCCCAAATCGGGCAACCCTGTTCGGCCTCCCCAAATTCCATCAGACTTTTATTGGCTAAGGGGACCCTTGAGAGAATATTTAGATAAGAGTGGTCACTATTTGGGGGGGTGCTTAGCTCTAGGCATCGCAGGCTAAGCATTTGATAGATATTCCCTAAGTCAATCCACACATCTCCTGTCAGGTAGGATTATCTCCATTTAACAGAGAAGTTGAGTAGTTTATCTCAGGCTGCCCAAGCCAACCAACGTCGAGACCAGATGCTTCCAAAGCCCTGTCCACATGGGGTGGGCTCCTGCCCCACCCACCCCATGTTCCAGTTCTGCTGTGTCCCTCACACCCTGTCAGCTGCCAGGTTCTGGAGAAGATCTCACTAAAATGCCTCCCACATCCACATCCAGAGTTCACATCCTGGGTCCCGCTGGACTACACAATGCCCTCCTGACTCCTCACCCTGCTGCCCACATACCCCCACCCTTCTGGACCCAGCCCAAATCATTCCTCCTCTGGGAAGCTGATGTGTTGAGGCTTTCTGTCCCCACTCAAATCTCTCACCTTGAATTGTAGTCCCGAGGTGTTGAGGGAGAGACCGGTAGGAGCTGATTGGATCATGGGCTCAGTTTCCCCTATTCTGTTCTCACGATCTGATGGTTTTATAAGGCAGTCTTCCCTGCTCTTGCTTGCTCGCTGTCCCTCTTCTGCCACTATGTAATACATGCCTGCTTCCCCTGTGATTGTAAGTTTCCTGAGGTCTCCCCAGCCATGTGGAACTATGAGTCAATTAAACCTCCTTTTTTTTAAAATAAATTATCTATCTAGGGTAATGTCTATAGCAGTGTGAAAATGAACTAATACAGAAGTGTTTGTGGATTAGCTCCCACCAGTACTGGGAAGGGATGTTGCCCTCCTGGAACCTTCCAAATCACTCACTGCCTGAGCTGGTACGCTCGGCTTCCCACCGCCCCTTGACTGATGTCCGTTAATGCCATTCAGCACCAGGTGCGCAGACCTTACTTCCTCACTGAGATATGCCCTTGATGGCAGAGCTGTGTGCACAGCAAGTGTTCAGGTGATGGTGGTCACTGGGTGACAGAGGCAACATGACACAGTGGTGAAGACAGAGGGAACTGAAACACGAGTTTGAAACCTGGCCTGGTTGTTCTTCGGCTGTGCTGGCTGGACAAGACATATAGTCTCACTGTGCCTCAGTTTCCTCAACTGTAAAATGAGGCCAATGTGAATCCTCACCTCACAGGGCTATTGCAAAAATTAAACAAGGAGGCCTTAGCACTCTATGGGCACATGGTGGCTATTCATACTTCCCCGGGAGACGCCTCCCCTTGGCAAAGAACTAGAAAGTCATGTTTTGTAAACAGGTGAAGGCTCCCAATTTGTTCTGTAAGAACGCCTTCACCCATGAGTGCTGACACAAGTCCTAGGATCAAAGTGGACCTTGGCAATGACCAACAAGCCTTTTACGTGAGCTCCTGCTGTGACCACATCACCAGGACAGCTTCAAGTGTGACTCTAAGCCCCAGTATTGGTTCTCGCTTGTCCACACACAGCCAGCTTTTGTCAGCTCTTTCCATCCTTCCTGAATGTCCTTGGGGACATAACAAGCCCTAGGGGTCAGGCTGGAAGGGCTCTGGTGTGCAGGAAGAACATGAACTAAGAAGTAAAGAAGGTGTCAGCCAAACACTCAACGGCAAAGTGCTCTCGCAGAAACCAAAGCCATGCTTCCTTTGAAACCTCGGGTGTTTTCTCCTGGTCCTTGTACTAATTTGACTTTGTACTCTTAGCAGACAGTTTTCACCATGGGGTTGTCTGGGGACAGAAGACCCCAAAAACAACACAGCTCACCTCTAATGACAACAGAATTGCTTAAAATGAGGAAGTGGGGCATGCATCTGTCGACTTCTGGAATATTAGCCTCACACAAAACACGGAGCTATGACAAGGTATGGGGCTTCACGTTTTTTCCCCCGACCTCAGCAGAAGACAATATTGGTTCAAGAAGAAACACCAGCTGCTGCTTCAGAATTGCATGACAAGGCCAGGCGCAGTGGCTCATGCCTGTAATCCTAGCATTTTGGGAAGCTGAGGCAGGTGGATCACTTGAGGTCAAGAGTTCAAGACCAGCCTGGGCAACATGGTGAAACTCCATGTCTACTAAAAATACAAAAATTAGCCAAGCATGGTGGTGGGCACCTGTAATCCCAACTACCTGGTCGGCTTAGGCAGGAGAATCATTTGAACCCAAGAAGTGGAGGCTACAGTGAACTGAGATCCCGCCACTGCACTCCAGCCTGGGCAACAGAGTGAGACTCTGTCTCAAATAAAAAATAAAAAATAAAAAAAATACATGACAATTACTCTCCTAGCCTGCAGCAGTCACCCCTCAGGCCATCTGAGAGTCTCTGGAAACCCACCAACTAGAAGGATTTTTTGACTGTTCTCTGCCATCAACTGGAAGTGGCTATAGATGTGTAACAATATGGGCACTTAGGGAGAGGCAGAGGCCCTGGCAGTGAGCAGAGAGTTTACCCACCACTGGTTCCCTGAGAGTGGGATGGGAAACTTCTTCCTTTGCCCCCCAGCACCACCTTCCTAAATGGGGTGGCTCTGTCCAGTGCGGGAACTCCATCAACTCTGCTGACCCGTTTTTTGTTTTTTTTTTTTTTTGAACCCTCAGATGTAATAATGGGACTTTAAAAATCATTCTCATTAAATCTTAGCAAATATAAAAGCCAATGAGGGAGGAATGTAGACCAAAGGCCACCAACGGCAGCCTTGAACAGCTCAGCTTCATTTCAGAAACCTTCGTGTAGCAGCAAAGGAGGTGCGAGGGAGGGGAGAGACAGAGCCTTCTAGGGAAATAGGGAATAGGGAAATTTTCTCCATTAGGTGAAGTGGAGAAAGCCGGAATGCACTATTTGGAGACTTTTCAATTAAACCTCAGGGGCGTGGCACCCTCCTGTGCCTCAGAGCTATACTGCATCAGAGGCATTCAGGGCAGAAGAGTTGGCTTCATTGGGAAAGCTGGACAGACAGCGCAGCTGGCTACAAGCTTATGGTTCATCCCCCATGGCTGGTGGTGTGAAAAGCCGTGGGAAGAATTAGGAGCCCTAGGGAAGGCCCCAGGAGCTCCTGGGTCAGAGGAAGACGACGCCCCACCAGCGAGGGCTCCCAGCTATCGGCCCCTTCTGCGAAATCTCAACAGGACACTTCCCGGCGGAATAGTCAAGTGAGTCAAGGCGCCTCTAGTGACCAGAGACTACCAAGATGTGAGGCCCTCCCAAGGGGAAAAAAATGATCGGGCCACCGGTGCATGACTAAGTATCTTGGAGAAGAAACTCACTGACTCTAGCCAGAGGTCAGAGGCCACAGGAGAGCCCAGGAAGGCTTTAATCAGCCCTTTGAGTCAAGTTCTACCTTAGAACCAAATGGGTCCTTGGGAAACCCTACGATTTCTTTCCAGTTCTGCAGCCACGGCAGCAGATAGCACATGCTCCATCATCCAAGACAGGGTGGCACTTTCCCATGTCACTGGTATAATGACAAGGCAGTGATCAAGTACTTTTGAGTTAGGAATTTGGGTCCTCATTTTGCAGACAAGGAAACTGAGGCCCAGAGATCCAGCCCTGCTGGGGTGCAAACTCCAATCTGCCCAATTCCAGACCACCTGTTCTTATCCAGAAGCTCTCACCTTCCCAAAACACTTCTAGCCAGAGACTAGTACTTCAGGTAGGACAGCCCTGAAAAGGTCATTGCCATCTAGAGGGAAATTTCCTCCACCGAAAAGAACCAGGTCTCTCTGATTTGCTATGTTCCCAGGGCCCCTTCCAGGTCCAGGCAGTGAGCTCAGTGAACCTTTTCTGTGGGGAGGATCCAGACTGCTTTTATGATACTTAGAAACAAAATACTCAAAATGAGGAAGGCAGTAACTTCCTTAGTAAGATACGTAGGGCGGTATAGACATCATCATTGAGCATCACTGTGTGCACTCAGCCTTCTGAAGGCTCCAACCAGACAACCAGACCCGCCTTCCCAGGGCACCTCCACTATCCCTGCCTCTCGCTAACAAGGGGTGCTCCTATTGTCTGAACCCACCTGGTCTCCTTCCCCAGTTCTGAGTAGCACCTGGGCCTGCTCATCCTGCTGCCAGGACCCGCCCACAGCCTCCATGAGCACCAGAGCCCTGAGAATGCCAGGCCCACCTGCACCTGCCGCGAGCAGGTACCTACCTTGGTGTCAATCTTCCAGGTGATCTCTCGGATGCTCTGAAACCACTCGAAGAGCTCCTCCACCCTGTCTGTGGCAAACTCCACCGGAGGATCACCCTGCTTCTTAGGCTCCAGGATAAAGACAAAGGGCTTCTGGTTTTTCCCCTGTGGGGCTTTCACTTAGGGGAGAGAATAAGAAATGTCCCGATCAGCCTGTGAGAGGGCCACAAAGACCACACCGCACCCTGCCTGAGCCGTTTCTCTCATGGACCAGACCAAACCGCCACTGCTATGATCACGGTTAGGATTGATGGGGTCGTCTACTTTCCATCAGGTAAGTACGTGTCACACACATGACTACCCAGGAATGCAGTGGGTTCACTAGTGTCCTCCACAAAGCTGTGTCAGGTCACCAGTGCCTGTGAATGGGAACTTATTGGTTACTATAAGGATCTAAAATGACATCATCCTGGATTTAGGGCAATCCCAACATCCAAACAAGGATGTTTAAGATGCAAGAAAATAAAATAAAATGCATGTGAGAACCTGAAAAAAATACCCTCTTGTCCACTTTATAGAAACATGTTCATCTTGATCAAAACAAACATTGTATATCTTTTCGATTGACCAATTAGAAAATGCTTTTTGCCCTTACCATATTTTCTACAAATTGCTAAAACAATACACATTCATTTTAGAAAGATTTTAAAATATAGCTAAGCAACTTGGCATTTTTACAAAATGTTTTCATACAATACATAAAATTTGATGAACTGATTGTTTCAATTAGTATATTGTACATAATTTTCTATTGTTACATATAATCTTTTAAATACGAAGAATAATTTAAATGGCTTTTTTTTTTTTTCGACAGGGTCATATTCTGTCACCCAGGCTGAAGCACACTGGTGCGATCTTGGCTCACTGCAGCCTCCACCTTCCAAGCTCATGCGATCCTCCCACTTTAGCCTCCCAAGTAGCCGGGACCACAGGTGCACACCACCAAGCCTGGCTAATCTTTGTATTTTTTGTAGAGACGGGGTTTCACTAGGTTTCCCAAGGCTGGTCTCGCACGCCTGAACTCAAGCGATCCACTCGCCTTGGCCTCCCAAAGTGCTGGGATTACAGGCATGAGCCACCACAGCGGGGTAAATGGCTTTGAAAATGGATGCCAACACAGGGAGAAAGCCATGTGCAGGCAAATGTGGGACTTAGAATGCAGCCACAAGCCAAAAACACCAAGGATTTCCAGCAGTCCCCAGAAACTAGGAGAGAAATGTGGTGTGGGTTCTCTAGACACAGAGCAAGCATCTTATAGAGAAGAAAAGGTTATGAGAGGGAAACTTACCTAACAAATAATATTTGTAGCTAAGACTTCTGAGTTCTTATATACCAGGCAATATTCTAAGCAGATTACCTCTTCTGCATCTTTTTTTCTTTTAAGATTTTGGGGTCTTGCTACATTACCCAGGCTGGTCTGACACTCTTGGTGCTCAAGTGATCCTCCCATCTCAGCCTCCTGTGTAGATGGACTACAGGCCCACTGCTATGGCTAGGCCCATTTTACAGGAAGAAAAACTGAGGCTCATTAAGAGAAAGTAACATGCGGAGGGTCACACAGCTAGTAACAATAAAACTGAGGCTCAGTCCAAACCTGACTCCAAGATCACTACTCGGAACCACTGAGCCATATGCCTCTGCTCTGCAAATACAGGGATGCAGGGAGAAGATACAAAGAGCATGAGAAGCGCAGGCAGGAATCCCTCTCCTACCTATCCTGCTGGATTGCTGTAAAGGATAAGAAGCAAGTAATAAATGTGGAAAGTAGGCTGCATGTGGTGGCTCACACCTGTAATCCCAGCACTTGGGGAGGCTGAGGCAGGCAGATCACTTGAGGTCAGGAGTTCGAGACCAGCCTGGCCAACATGGCGAAACCCCGTCTCTACTAAAAATACAAAAATTTTCCAAGCGTGGTGGTGCATGCCTGTAATCCCAGCTACTCCGGAGGACTAAGGCAGGAGAATCACTTGAATCCAGGAGGTAGCGGTTGCAGTGAGCCAAGATCATGCCACTGCACTCCAACCTGGGAGACAGAGCAAGACAGTCTCAAAAAAATAAGAATAAATAAAATTAATGTGTAAAGCAGAGCACTGGCAATAGAAGCAGGAATTTCCTGGGACTGTTGTCACCTAAGTCCTAGAGGACCATGCCCATGCCTCCCCAGGTAAAAGTCATGGAGGCGGCTACAGAGCCCCTTGACATGGGAGCTGCACCATGCCCACTTAAAAGCAGGCATGCTCAAGGCCCAGGAAGCCCCGCACACACCAGACCCTAGCCACCACAGGCCTGGCCTCAGGGCCATGTCTCCACATCACTTGCAGCACAGTCAACATGGGCAGGCTGTATTTCCTGGGCCCGAGCTGAGCAGCCAGGAAGCAGAGGTTCGAAGAGCAGCGGAGAGGCAGAGCTGGGCTTAGAACACACAACTGCCAACTCCATGCTGCATTTCAGCCAGGCTGACAGCTCGGCTTTCTTTCCAAATGCATGAAACACAGGCAGATTCTGATGTTGGTAATAATATCAGCTAACCACTATCTAGCACGTATGTACCAGACCCTGTTTAAGCACTTCTATTTTTACCAGATATGAACTGCAAACATCACATCATACTCACTGACCAGCCTGACCTAAATACTCAGCTTCAGCCAGGGAAAGAACCGGCATTCAAGTCACAGGCACGATGGGACCCCATGTCAGCCGCCTCCCTGTGTGGGGCGGGGCTGCGGTCAGGCCATGGGGGATTCGGGTGGGAATCCAGGCTAAGATGATATGTGCACGTACCGACGTTATAGGTATTGAGGTCCAATATGCCTCTGCAAAGAGACCCTAAGGGATTGTCTTCAATAATCTATGAAGAAACAAGACATAACTCACGTCAGTTGTAACAGGAATAATAAAAAGACAACCCATTTCCAAAGCACACCGTTTAGCAGAGACACCGCCTGTGGAACTGTTTAAAATGCATTTTCATTACCGGATACGTCCACGGGGAGAAAGCTAAATAATGAAGCATGGAGCTGATAGGGACCTGACAAGGAGTGGGTGCCTGGAGGTTCCCAGTTTCATTTTCCAACCGGTAAAAACGTGCCCTGTGAATTCTAGAACAGGATTCACAACGTTTCCTCAGCTCTGGTTTCCAAACACACCCTAGACCTTATTACAAAATAAGACTATTTAGGCTACTAAAGCCCAGCTCCAGAACCCTCTGTGGCTTCCCATGTCCTGTGGAGGCAACACCCATGCTCCATGATCTGGCTTTTAAGGCTTTCTGAGCCCCCATCGCCCTTGCCAACTCTGCCCCCCATTGCACACTCACACCATCCCGGGGTCTGGCTGAGATGGTGACTATCCTGGTCTCAGGAGACGTGGCAGAACCAGGCATCCACTCATTGCCTGCACTACTGCGACCCCCACCGCCTGCACCAGGCAAATGCTGATGTACAGGTAAGGGCAACGCACTACAGACGCAGCAAGGGCTTCATGTCTCTGCCTCAGCCCAAGCACACAGAACACAAGCCCATTCCCATTGCCACACCTTTGCTCAGACTGTACTTCCCACTTGGAACTCCCTTCTGCCAGTATCTTGCTGTTGAACTCTAACTTGACTTGTAAGGCTCAAATACTCCTTTCAGGAAGGCTTCCCAGATTGCCCTACCTCCCTTACAAAATAAATCCCTTGACCTCTAATGGGATCTTAAAGTCCTCATTACAAAGATATCATCCTTGGTGCAGCGCCAGCACGTTCAGAGTCACTGCTTCCTAACAAGAGGCAGCGACGGAACAACCACCAGGTTTGCAAAGCCACCAGGAAGGCCTCATCTCACCTTCTGGTTAGGCCCACTTGCTTACTCACCCCAGGCACGTTCTTAACGTCTGGCTGTCCAACATAAATGTGTTTCATTTGCAAGTTGCTTAAGCAGAGCACAAATTCCCCATTTGGCCACTTTCACTCCAGTGGGAATTCTGCATATTCAAAGCCTTCCAAGCCCAGCACAACCTGATTAAAACATGACTGGCTTGTCACAGAGACTCTCCCGCAATAACTCAGAGACGATCTCAATTTCCCTATCACTCTGTCTTCCCTGATCCAGAGCTCCACGGAGACCACTAGCAGCACGTGGAAAAATTCACCCACTGAGATGGCACAGGTCCCTGAAAAACTGGACCTGCAGATCCCTTCTTCCTGTAAGATGATCGAAGAGAGGTACGCACCTGCTTTTCCAGCTCCTCGACATCTGCAGTTGAGATGTCCTCCACGTAGTTGGATGGGAAGTACTGCTGGATCCTGGTTCCATAGTCACCTTTCCACCTGGATAAGAAGAGGGAACATGGGGGAGCTGTCACCAGGTGGCATGAATTACCCGCTACTGCTCATTAGCACCTGGCTGCTGGCTCGATTCTGATGGGGACAGGTAGCAAGTGGCCAAGTGACCAGTGTCACTATCTGTGACAATGCAGAAACTCACAGACAGCTTCTTTTTATTTTTTAATTACCAATGAGTTACTGGGGGCCGATTTTCCTCCTCATCAGATGATCTTAATGTTTGACCAAAGAAACCGCAAGTCAAAAGTTTCAGTGCTTTAAGTGGAAGTCAGAGACCATACAAGACAAAAGCTCAACCCCATTTCAGGGAATAATTTTGAGAAAAGGTGCTTCTAGAGCCAGATAGCCTGAAATTAAATTCCAGCCCTACCACAGACTGCGGAGGCTTTCTGTGCCTCCAGTTCTCCATTCACAAAATGGTGAAACACGAGTGCTTCCCTTAGAAGGCTTTATTAGGTCTCTCTACATTAACATAAGCTGAGCGCTTGAGACAGCACCTACCTAGCACACAGTAAGTACTCAATAGTGTTAGCTCTTATTATTATTCAGCTACAACACTGTTCCATACCTTTATGACAGCACTAACAACACGTGACATAATCCATCTGTGAATGTTCCTGGACCCTACCAGACGGTGAGCACCTCTAAGATTCCTCCCCACAAGTCCATGCCCAGACACGCAAACCTCCTCCTTCGACCTGCGCATCTCAAGAGCCACTTCTGCAGCCACAGACCCTCCAAAATGCACGTCTGACCACACCACGTGACAGCTCCCCAGGGCCTCCAGAATCCAGCCCAGACTCTTCATCATGGCAACCACAGCCCAGCACAGGCTGACCCCAGGACTCCCAGACCTCACCTCCTAGCTCTCCATGACATTGATTCCACATGGCCCATTGTCCTCATCATTCCCCTGCCACGTTACCTAGCTTCCATGTCTTAGTCCACGCCCTTGGTACCCAGCTTCCCTCTACTAATTTAAGACTCAGTTTGGGCATTTCCTCTTCCAGGAAGTCTTCCCTGACTGCCACCTAGGCTGAGCACTCTTCCTCTGTGGTCCCCTGGCCTCCTGTCCTGACAGTCATCCAAGCAGCCACACCTTATACTTAATGTGTAATTACACACCTGTCTTCCCCACTATATGAGATCTTTCTGGATTTTTATTTTTCTTTTTAGACCGAGTCTCATTCTATCCCCCAGGCCGGAGTGCATGGCGTGATCTCGGCTCACTGCAACCCCTGCCTCCTGGGTTCAAGCAATTCTCCTGCCTCAGCCTGCCAAGTAGCTGGGATTACAGGCACGCACCACCACGTCTGGCTAACATTTGTATTTTTAGTAGAGACAGGCTTTCACCATGTTGGCCAGGTTGGTCTCAAACTCCTGACCTCAAGTGATCTGCTGCTTTGGCCTCCCAAAGTGCTGGGGTTACAGGTGGGAGCCACCACACCTGGCTGACCTTTCTGGATCTTAAACAAGTCTGTGCTTCACGGTGGTAAGGACTTTAATATTTTTGGTCTGAATAAGCAGAGTGAGGACTGATACTACCAGTTCACATAGCGCAGACACAGGACTGCAGGTTGTAAGCCCTTTTCATGCCCTCCGCACCATTACTCTAGACCCACTTCTGGCAAAGGCTGGGTATATTTAGGGTGATCATATGGACCATCCATCCAGGACTCAGCAGTTTACATTTCTTTGACACTCAGGAGCATCCTGGTTCAGACCAAAGTTGTGTGGTCCCCTAGCTATAGGGGAACCAGTTTGGGAATATGCAAAAAAAGCCATTTCAGGCTGGGCATAGTGGGTCACACCTGTAATCCCAGCACTTAGGGAGGCCGAGGTGGGCAGATCATGAGGTCAGGAGTTCGAGACCAGCCTGGCCAACATGGTGAAACCCCATCTCTGCTAAAAAATACAAAAATTAGCTGGGCATGTTGTCACATGCCTGTAATCCTAGCTACTCAGAAGGCTAAGACAGGAGAATTGCTTGAACCCGGGAGGTGGAGTTTGCAGTGAGCCAAGAATGCACCAGTGCACTCCAGCCTGGGCAACAGAGGGAGACTTCATCTCAAAGAAAAAAAAAAAAAAGGCCGTTTCATACAGGCAGCCCCCTCAGTAGCACTTCTGCCATCAGAGAGAGAAACAAATGACCATGGCCACAGGACAGTTTGCCCACAGTCCCTTGGCAAAGAACTCCTCTTAACTCATCTCAGGATAAGAGCCTTCGAAATTTGGAGAACTGCCTATCAGAGGCATGGAAAGGCACGAGGCTGTCTCGCAGAATGGAAAACTGTGGTTTGGAGCAGTTACCTGGGCTCCATCCACAACTCCAAAAATGTTAGTCACCCACCCACTGAGCACCAGGACATTGGCCAAGGCAGGGACAGGAGCACAATGAGGGAGTGCCAGTGTCCCTGGAAGAGACCTCAACTCTGACTGTGCCACTTCGAGTGGAGGGACCTCGGCAAAACCAAGCATCTGAACTGGGAGATGCTGATGGACACCATGGTTGCCAAACTGGGTCTGGGAGCCTCCAAGGGGAAGCATCAGGGGCTGCAGTAGGGATAGCGAGGTCAGCCACGAGGCCAAACAGGGCAGCTCCAGCCCCGACTCCAGCTCAACAGATAACTCAGCTGCATCTTTAATTCTGGGGAATCTAGGTATGAACTGGTTTGCAATGAGGTTCTCCAGATTTTTAGAAAAACTCTGACAATCCCTGGATTAAGGCATCTTGCAAGAGGACAGGGAAGGACTTAGCAGATGAATGAGGTTACGAGCGTAGGCTTTGGAGCCAGAAGGCCTGGGGCTTCAAATCTCAGCCTGTGTGGCCCTAGACGAGTGGCTGCATTTCTCAGGCCTTCAGTTTCCTCATCTGTAAAATGCAGGTAACAACAGAACCAACCTTTTGCAGTCATCATGTGGATTCAGTGAGTTATTTCAAACAAAGTGCTTAAAACAGAGCTTGACACATAGAAGCACTCCATGTAAGCTGCCATTCAGATTTCTAAGTCAGGTCTAGTTATCTTGTGAAAGGCAGAAATGCCCATCTACGAGGTGCTTAAACTAGTACTCACGATTACGAGCAAGTTCTTATTGTTCTCAGACAGAAGTCACCCCACGAAACCACTTGCCCAGAAACCTGTCAGTAGGCAGTGAACTTTTCTTCCATGGTAAAAAAGGGAAATGGTACCTAAACCCTAGCACACCCAGATACCTTTGCCCTAAAAACGTATTGTCTTCAATTCAGGATGCAGCCATTGTACACAGCATGGGACTATGCAATAGCATAAGAATTAGAACTGGAAATAACACACCGTCTTGTGTATTAAAAATGGCCTGCACTATTTAGTAGCTGTGTGACTTGGACAGTCTCATTCACCGCATCCTTAAAGTGGGAATAATCATACTCCTAACCACAGGGAGTAATAAAGATTTGATTGAAAGCAATTAGCAGACTGCTTGCCACCTAGTAAGACTTCAATAATGGTAGCTGCTGTTGGAATCATAATAATATACAATATATTATATGACATATTGATAACTGTTAATATTGTTGTTTATCCATTTTCTCAAATAGAGCAAGCACGAAGCCACCTTCCTAAAAAGGGACTTAACACAAGAGGTCAAAGCCAGCCCAGAATGGCAGACAAAGTGGGGGCGGTCAGACTCGGCCAGCAGCTGAGTCTCATCACCCAGAAGGGACAAGTCAAGCATGCCCGCCAAGCAGCCCAGCCTCTACTCAGCCTTACCAGCCACCGGGCTCCTTGGAGACATTGTGGATGAGGGCGCCACGGCAGAAGCTCAGCTCATCGCTTCGCTTGGCTTTGTAGTCATACAGAGCTTTCACAGTTCTCTGAGGCTTTCAGGGAAAACAAGAAAGAAAATGTCAGGCCAGGGACAGGAGGCTGCATTCCAGGCATCATTCAGTTCTTCTCACTGGGGAGCAGGAGGCTTCAGGCCAAGATTACAAAGTCATCTGCTGGAGAGGGACTGGCATTGCAAAGGACCTAAGGCCCCAAAAAGTCACCAGGGAGTGAAGGAAGTCTGGCCTGGTCAGAGCTAAGGTTAGGGTTAGGGCTAGGGTTAGGGGCTAAGGATTATGGGTTAGGGTTTAGGGTTTTGGCACAGGGGTTAGGAGTCAGGGTTTAGGGTTAGGGTTAGGGTTATAGTTTAGGGAGGGGGATGGGGTTAGGGTGGGAGTGCCCCTGTATTTCACTGACCCAATATTCCTCAATTTCTTCAACAAAGAAAGGAAATGCCTTTTAGATTAAGCCAAGACCTCCGTCACAATGCCTATGCTCATCAAGCCTCCCAGAAGTTCAAGGGCAACCCCATTCTTCCTGCCTGTCCTGAGGGCCTCACTGCTCTTTTTATGTAGGTCAGCGGTCTCCTATCTATACTCTTGCAGGCCGCTGACCTTTTGCAAGACTAACTCAGGCTCTCCTCTATGAAATTCATCAAAAGGTGATCTCTGTTGTCATAACTAAGTAAGAACTTCCTCAGTATAGAAATTTTATTCAATGAATTTGCTTTCATGCCTTCTGCCTGGCAGGCATAAACGAATACCCAGATGGCAAGCAAATATTAATGGGAAAACCTCTGACGCTGTCAAACCTGTTTAGATCAGCAGCTTCCTTCTTCTGCCACCCAAAGGAAATGGGAACAGGAATTTCACAGGGAATCCAGTAAAACTATTCCTCAGAACACAGGCTACAAAGTCAGACATGTAGGTTCAAACCATTGCCCTGCCCTTAAATGGTTACATAAGGTTGAGACTCTCTGATCCTCAGCTCCCTCATCTGTGAAATGGGAAGTAAATTTTTATACATTTCACAGGATTGTTAAACTATCACATGAGATCGTGTGTATAACGACATAACTCACAGGAGCTTGCGATTCTTCAGTGCTAACTGCAGTACAGGTCAAAGCACTGTTCCGAGCCTCAGGGTATCACCTTTAATCCCTACAACCACCGTAACAGGTGGGTAGTTACATGATTATCCCCATTTTACAGATGATGAAAAAACTGAGATGCGGAGAAGGAAAGTAACTTGCCCCACATCAACCAGCTGTTTTAAGTAGCTGAGCCCAGAACTGCATCTATCAATGTGAGTTATTGCCATAGTTCAGGATGTTTCGTAAGAAGCAATGTGGGTTCTAGAAGCTCTGCCACAGGGATCTGCAGCGGGAGGCTAAGCAGAGCCCTTGCCTCTCTCTCTCCCTCCTGCAGACAGAGCGGCCTCTACCTGCATATCCTGCTTCAAGGGTGGATGTAAGGGCCAGAGCCAGGCTCCAAGGCCACAGGAACGAACACTCATCAGTTAGAGGGGTGACTGTTCTCATCACCAAAACATCCTTCACTTCTAACAAAATTTTTGCTGCTAAGTTCTCTTAATGCATTTCATATACAGCTGAATTTGCCTACAACTTTTCAAGATTTCATTTCTTTCTGAAAGAGATCTACATTGGCCAAGGATTATAAATTTTTGAAAAACAAAGTCATCTCTGGATTTCAACAGAGCCCACAAGCAGGGCCCCTGCCTAAGCGAGCGCTGTTCACTAATCGTGGGCCACATGGCCCCCAAACAGAAAATTTGCCGCCGTTCTTCCTCTGCCGGTTCAAACTAAATCTAAGATGAAACCATGGCAAGGAAGAGCCGAGGGCTCAAAGTAAAATCCATCCCTACCTGCATGAAATTACACGACAGAGTTGGGGTGGGAATATGAGATAGTGTTTGCACTGTTTGCACTGCAGGGAGGTCAGCGAACCAGATGGAATTTATAAACACCACGGGCTCCATCAGTGAGCAAGAAACATTTGAAAGACTTAATTAGAAGCCATTTTGGCCCAGAGGTGGTTCAGCAAACCTCAGAATTTTAGCAAAACACTGTTGCATTTGGATGGAATTCTATTAACCTTTTCCCTGAAACTAGACTGCATACTGTCAATCATTGTTTCTTCTCAAAAAAAAAAAAAAAAAATTATTTTGGCCAGGTTTTCCAGAATCTTCCCTTGCCCTGTTGTAACTGCCAGGAGAACAAGATGGAATCCACATCAGCCTAGTGACTCAGAAATCACGTGAGCTGGGGGTTCAGCACTGTACCATGGACGGATTGATTTCACTGGGATCCACATACATTCTGCTGACGTCATAGAGGGAGTTTATATCTCTTTCCTGGAAGAAAAAAGGAAAGAAAGAAATGTAATAATCCACGCTCCTAAAATAGCCCTTCCATATTACAAGGGTTCTAGGCTTCCTTATGGTTACCTATCCTTCGATAGAAGAGTTGAAATGTCATAGAATTTTCTTGTGGCCCATGAGTGGACACAGGAAAAAGCTATACAGAAGGTCTCCAGACGTGGAAACTAACCCAAAATCAGAGAGGCCCTGGCATGGCCTGCTGTGTGCCAGGCACCATGTTCCCTCGTAAAAACGCAAATCCTAAGATCCAGTGGTGCGCTGGAGTGAGCTCCCAGCTCGCAAAAGCCCACTGTGTACATCGCTTCCTGACTCCACATTTAAGGTTTGATGGCGGCACATCAGCAACTTGAAACTGACCACCATGTAAGTATTTACACCATGGAAATTGGCAAATGCTACAAACCACTGCTTTCCCCCTCAGAGTTGTTTAAACATTTACTAGCACACCACTGCCAAGATCTACCCCCAGCACCCCTCTGTTCCTCTCTAACTCTTCTTTCTTTTCCTCGTGTCACCTGAGGGCTTGTGGTGTGGCTACTCCTCTACCTAGAGCCACCCCTTCCTTCACTTCTCCCCCAAGTCCATTCACCACTGTCTTCCATGTTTCAGCTCACATTTCCCCCCTTTTTAAGGTGGCCTTCTCTGATCACCACCCCCACAGTCTAAGGCAGTACCCACCCCTTTTCACACAATCCTGTTTTCTTTGCTTTATTATACTTCATGCTACCTGAAATTATCTTCGTGATGTATATTATCTGTCTCTCCTCTCCAGAACCTACATTTACCAGAGGCAGATTTTGTTCCATAGTACTCCCAGTATCTACAACAGTTCTTGGCACATGGTCAGGATGACATAAATCTCTTTTCAATAAATTAATGATCTGTGTGGTAGGAAGGGAGACACAGTAATCATGTCAGGTCTCTTCTGCACCCAGAATTGTCCAATAACTCAGAGAAAAAGCCACGGCCTTATAATGGCCTCTGAGCCCTGCATGATCCAGTCCCCTGTGAACCCCCATTTTCATTTAGCTCCACCTCCACCTAGGCTTGCTCAATTCCAGCTGCTTCTTGGTGCCTCCAGGCAGGCTCCTACCTCAGGACCTTTGCACATGCTATCCTCTCCTCCTACAGAAGTTACCCACCTGGCTCACTCCTTCTCAGTGACATCTTCCTAGACCACCCTCTGAAAACTGCAATCCCTTCCCCATCACTCTGCATCCCCTTATCCACCTGCCCAGTGTTTCTCCTTAGCTCTCATCACCATCTGACACACACTATGGATATTTTAAACCTCATTTGTTGCATCTCCCCATCACTACACTATAAGCAGCACAAGGGCAGGGTCTTTTTCTGTTGTGTTCAGTTTGTATCCCCAGAACCTACAGCAGTATTAGACACATGGTGAATACTCAGAGGTTTGCTGAATTCAGGAACAGATGAGCTACAACCTCAGACAAGAAATCCCACCAAATCACAAGGGAGTCAACCACCTACCATATTGTAGCGCTCCAGGAGCTCGGGCGTCACGGGGTAGCGCAGTCTCATCTTTCGGTAGAGTGAATGCTTCTCATAGTAACTGACGAGCTCCACCAGGCTCTCAAAATAGGCGGAGGTTCCCAGAACAAAGTGCCGGCCGTCCCGGTTGATGCGACAATGCTTCACCTTGCCCCTAGCCCTGGATAGGGAAGAACACAGGGGTTGACATGTCAAGATCCTGGTGGCCAAACAATTTTTATACAAACCCCACTGATTAGATACAACGTAGTTATCCAGCCTTAGAGAAGTGGGTACAGAAACAGGGTGTAGTCCTCCTATGGAATACAAGGCAATTAAAAACACTGATGTGGGTATTTTCAAAACAGATCTAGAAGACTCTGTGTCTCAGAAGAAATATTGCCGACTGACTCAACAGCTCCTCTTACCCTTCCCCTCCTCCCCAGCTACAGGGCTTGACTTTAGGACCATCTTAGGGAACTAGATGAGGAGTAGGCCAAATCTGGCCCACCACTTTTTATAAATAAAGCTTTATTGAAACACAACTATAGTTCATTTGTATATACATTGTCTGGGCTGTTTTCATACTGTAACAGCAGAGTTGCATAGCTGCAACAGAGACCATATGGCCAGTAAAACCTAAAATATTCACTCTTTGGTCCTTTACAGAAAATGTTTGCCAATCTTCCCCACCAAATTCTTAAATCTTGCCTTCAATGACTCAGCTAGCAAAATGACAACTTTTTTTTTTTTTTTCAAAAAAGAGATAAGTCTTTCATTCCTTCATCTGTTTGAAACATGAAGCAGAAAAAATCCAAAACAGAACAGCCTCCTTAGTTTTATTAGCTTTTTTCAGCAAGACAAAAACATCTGGAAAAATATAGTTTGACCCTAACTTTATAGCCAAGAGGCTCTTCAAACTGGACCCTTATCTCACACCATAAACAAAAAAAGCAGCTCAAAATGGATTAAAGACTAAACATAAGACCTGAAACTGTAAAACTACTAGAAGAAAACCAAGAGTAAAAACTGTGTAACATGGGTCTGGACAATGATTTTCCAGATAGGACCCCAAAAACACAGGCAACAAAAATGAAAGTGGATAAACGGGATTATATCAGACTAAAAGGCTTCTGCGTAGGCAAGGAAAGAATCAACAGAGTAAAGAAACAACCTACAGAAAGGGAAAAACATCTGCAAGCTGAACATTTGACAAGCGGTCAACATCTAAAATATGTAAGGAACTCTAACAACTCAAGAGTAATAAAATAAATTACCCAATTTAAAAATGGACAAAGGCCGGGCGCGGTAGCTCACACCTGTAATCCCAGCACTTTGGCAGGCCGAGGCAGGCAGATTACTTGAGGTCAGGAGTTTGAGACCAGCCTGGCCAACACGGTGAAATGCTGTCTCTACTAAAAATAAAAAATTAGCTGGGCATAGTGGCGGGTGTCTGTAATCTCAGCTACTCGGGGGGCTGAGGGATTAGGAGGACTTGAACCCTAGAGGCAGAGGTTGCAGTGAGCCAAGATCATGCCACTGTACTCCAGCCTGAGTGACAAACTAAGACTTTTACCAGAAGAGAAAAGAAATCAAAAACGGATCTGAATAGACATTTCTCAAAAGAAGATATGTGAATAGCCAACAGATATATAAAGAATATTCAACATCACTAATCATCAGAGAAATGCAAATTAAAACCACCATGAGATGTCACCTCACACCTGGTAAAATGGCTATTAGCTAAAAGAGAAGTGCTGGTGAGGATGTGGAGACAAGGGGACCCCTGCACCTGGTTGGTGGGGCTGTAAATTAGCATAGCCATTATGGAAAACAGTAGAGATTCCTCAAAAAATTATAAACAGAACACCATGTGATCCAGCAATCCCACTTCTGGGTATCCATCCGAAGAAAATGATAATATGGTCAAAGAGAGAGCTGCACCCCCATATTCACAGCACCATTCACCACAGCCAAGATGTAGAATCAACCTGCCCATCAACAGATAAATGGATAAAGAAAATGTGGTGCATTTACATAATGGAATACCATTCACCTTTGGAAAAGAAGGAAAGCCTGTCATTTTCAACAACGTGGATGAACCTGGAGGACACTGTGCTGAGTGAAATAAGCCAGGCACCGAAAAACAAATACTACGTGATCTCATATGTGAAATCTAAAAAGATTTAAACTCACAGAAGTAGAGAGTAGAAGGGTGGTTACCAGGTCCGGGGCAGGGGGAGGGAGGGAGTGCTGGGGATATGTTGGTCAAAGGGCACAAGATTTCAGTTAGACAAGAGGAGTAAGTTCAAGAGATCTGTGGTATAGCACAGGAACTGGAGTCAGTAACAAGGTCCTAGCCGGGCTCGGTGGCTCATGCCTGTAATCCCAGCATCATCAGAGACCGAGTCAGGTGGATCACCTGAGGTCAGGAGTTCGGTAATAGCCTGGCCAACATGGTGAAACCCCATCTTTACTAAAAATACAAACATTACCCAGGCATGGTGGCATGCACCTGTAATCCCAGATACTCAAGAGGCTGAGGCAGGAGAATCGCTTGAACCCAGAGGTGGAGGTTGCAGTGAGCCGAGATCTGAGATCGCACCACTACACTCCAGACGGGGTGACAGAGCGAAACTCCATCTCAAAAAAAAAAAAAAAAAAAAAAACAATGTCCTGTATTCTTGAAAATTGCTGAGGGTAGACTTTAAGTCTCACCACACACAAAAAAATGGTTAAGTATGTGAGGTAGTGCATACATTATCATCTCAATTTAGCCATTTCAACATGTATACATATTTTAAAATATGTATACATGGACATAATACATATATACAACTTCTATTTGTCAAATAAATAGGAAAAACATCTAGAGGCACAGTTTCTATGGGCACACCACTCTTCATAATTTTGCATGGCAGGGGAAAAAATAAAAGGAATTTTTTGCACTGTAGAGACTTTTTTATGGTTTAAAGATTTTTTCTTTTTTAAAAGGATTTCCAATCTTTTGAAAAAAATATATTCTTTTAAGCCATTTCTTCAAAAAGTCCTGTAAAAACAAAATGCTAGAAGACTTTTCCTTCAGTGATTTACTTGCAGCAGTATTTTATTAAATATTTATCCCTTCTAAAAACAAAACAGAGGAAGGAAAAGAAACACTGCTGAGTAGCAAAGCTGCAGAATGCTCCCATTTGTATTTTTTTTAAAAAAGAGAACAAAAAAACCCACACAAAACGGCACTATATGTTTTCCATAAGTACAGACATATATAAATATGTATGTATTTTTTAAATGTCTAGATGGAGACACCAATTTGAAAACTGTGCTTTCTACCGGGACATCTCTATTAAGATTAGAAGGACCACAGAGGGCTTTAGCCTTGACTGTAATGTCTTAATTTTTTATAAAGAGCATATCTTCCTACAATATTCAAGTAATTGAAAATTAATTTTAAAACTTTTTATAAGAGCTCCTCAGGGCAAGAGCTCTCAGTGCAGAGGTAGAGAGCTGGGGTCAGGTTCTGGCTCCTTCCTCCGAGAACTCCTAAGCCTCAGTTTCCCAATCCACACCATCGGGGATCCACAACCCCTATTGCATGGGGAGCTTTAGGACCATCACCCATTCAGTGATTCGGGGCAAGCCTTCGGCTTTGTGTCTGGCACTGAGGCAGGACTCAGTAAGTGAATGATTTGGAAAACATAACTAAAATCAAGCCACAACTAACTTCCCTGGGAGAAGAGAGAATCAAAAGGGGAGATGGGAACAGGGCTGGAAGAGGAGTTGCATCTTCCAACCTCCTGGAGCGTGGATGCCATGGTGCCAGGGCCTGAGGTCTGAGCTGAGAAGCCCCTCATCCTGCCCAAGAGATGCTTTCCACAAAACACAACGAGGCAACCACTTCAACACTTCATTTGAGGAACTGAAAGCAGGTGTTTCTCTTCTACTGGGAAAATCTATCCAGAAGTTCAGTATACATCCCCAGAGCCCAGATCAGTGCCTGGCACAGGAGAGGCACTCTACAAATATGCAGAGGTCAAGGAGGAGAAGTTCCTCCAGACTTATGTTCCCCCACTGCCTGGTACAAATTCCCAGTTCGTTCCCCTGGAGAGCTCCTACTCACTCTCTGCCACCCTGCCGGAGCTTCCCTTTGTAGCACTTACCATGAAATATTACACTGATTTCCTTATGTGCCCAAATCTCCTCAGTGCTTCTCAATAAAAGACAGTGACACCTCAACCCACATCCTGAACAGAGAGCATTTGAAAAAGTGTGTTTCCTGGGGCAGGGATGGGGGTGGCATTTTTTATTGTTACAATGACATAGACATGAAGTGGGTGGAGACCAGGGAAGTTCAACATCCCAAGACAGGAAAGTCCTCACGCCCTCCTCTTTGAGAAACACTGTGAGGGCTGAGCTTCCCTGACAGTGGGGTGTGGGGAGATGCCATCCTTTCTGATTGATTCATTAAGTCAGAGTTCACCAGCCACCAACTACATCCCAGCCAATGTTACATAAGCAGGAGCAGGTCCAAAGCACGACACACTTGACGAAAGGTGATGTCTCTCATTCCTGCCAAGTCATTAGTCTGAGAGAGCAAGAACTGGACTATTTCCTGCATTTCTGGAGCCCAGTACAGGGCCCGTCACACAGTAGGTGCTCACCGAACATCTATTAATTCCTACAAAATAAAAACTTCCATTCTCAAGACACCTCCAAACTCATGGGGAAGATAGGCTCACAAAGTGAATGGGGTGTGTACATAAGTCAGGCAATCAACCTGAGGACCCACCCTACCTCTTCATTCACCTGATCCCATTGAAGTGACCCCAACCTCATCCCCAGATGGCTAGTCAGAATCACGGCACCTGGCTCAGGGAGGGGGCCATCCTTTCTGCCAGACACTGTCCTGGTGGCCCAAGGTATAGCCACCTGAGGAGGAAGCTGACGGAGAATAATGCCATAGGTACCACCCTGACCGCTGTCAGCTGAGGCCCAAATCTGGGTGTGGCTGAGCTGCCTTACCTCTTGGGCATCTCACTTTGCAGCCAACAAGTCCCCACCATTTTTGTTTCAGCCAGTTGAGTTTAGTTGCCATCACTGCACCGAATAATAGCACAGTGGGAGTGCCGACACCCAGCCCGGGGTATACAGCAGGCCTTCAATCCGTGCACAGCGGAGTGAACACACCTGATCCTCAACCAGGCTGATGAGGCAAAGGAAAAGAACAAAGGGCAGAGGCACCAATTCTGAGGAGCGCAGGCCACCTCTTGGGAACACAGAGTAGAGAAGAGCCATGCCGGTGGGAGGCTGCTCTGTGGCCGGAGCTAGCACGCAGTAGGTCCTCAGTAAACTTCAGTGATAATGACCATCACCACAGTCCCCAGGGAGGTGGCTCAGGCATAGTGGTCCAGGCAAGGAAGAAGGAAAATCCAGACGTCCAGGCACTGCCTGGCAGGGTCGCCAGGGGATGGGGCTAAGGCAGAGGGAATGGAGAGAGGAGTGGGGACGGGCAAACCACACACCCTACATCAGCTCATGCGGCTGGCGCCACCACGCCTGCGTGGAAACACAGACCCAGAGCATCCACTGCCTCCTGTTTTTCACTAGAAGCACTCTGAGTTTTTCAGTGAAATTGCTCCATTTTTCACATCAGCATACGAAAGACGTCCGCAGGCCTGATTCAGCCCCCAGGCCTCTGGCTGGAGACTCTGGAGTAAAGAGCTTAGGCTTTGGAATCTGAACCTCAGACTTAGTTGACTATGAGGTTGTGTGACTCCAGCCAGGTCACTTAACCTCTCTAGGCCTATTTCCTCACTTGTAATAACTAGACCTACCTCTCACAGGCTGTAGCAAAGGATTCCATCAGATGAGGCCTTGAAGGCAGCCCAGTGTCTAGAACACAGTGAGGCACTCAACATATGGCAGACTGTTACCGCCATAAGAATACACAGCGGAAATCCTGGGGCTGGGGAGACGGAGGGACAGTAGGATATACGGAGTCTGAGTCACTACCCTGCTCCTTGTCATTCATGGAAGTGGGGAAATCTGGTGTTTTGGGGTAAAATTAGAGAATCACAGGCCTAGAGGACGCTGGGCAGCAGCTGCAGATAGGAGGAAGCCAGACCTGTATCATCACAGGCCTGGGCTGCATAGGCTCAAATCCCAGCTCCAGCAATCACTGGCTACATGCTTCAGCAAGTTATTTCATCTTGGTGTGCCTCAGTTTCCTCCTCTGAGAAATACGGGTCATGGTCATGTCAACCCCACAGTTACTGGAAGCCAAAGTGAGTTACTACAGAACGTGCTGCCCTGGAGAACACAGACTGTGCCTGGTATGCTGGAATGCACATTCTCACAGTGGCTTTTGCTGTGGGTATTGTCACTGTCACTGATGCTGGGGGGGGGGGACACTACAAGTGAGCTCCCACCCGAAGCTCCCCCTTGGCTGTCCACATCTATCCTTGCCAAGCCCCTCTGGAGGGCATGTGCCTCCCACCCTTTCACCCACCTGAAGGTGATGGCGTAGGAGTCGCTGCCCTCTCGCTTCCGGATCAGGAAGGCCCCATCCCGGGGGATCCTCATCAGCATGTCCTCTGCCTCTCCGCGACTCAGGCTGTCATAGTACCACCTGCAGCACAGGGCCAGGGAAAACGGCCAGGTGAGCGGTCTCCGGGCAGTCAGTGGGCCACCCACAGAGGACAACATAATGGCGCCAGTGACAACGACCAGGGAAATCACACAGTGGGCTTCCCCAGCCAGAGACACCTCAGAAAAGAGCAATTTGTGAAGAGAACAGTGGGAGACACCGTGGGTCTGTTTCAAGACCAAAATAATACACCGGGCCAAGCACAGTGGTTCACACCTGAAATCTCAGCACTTCGGGAGGCTGAGGCCGGAGGATCACTTGGGGTCAGGAGTATGGGACTAGCCTGGCCAGCACAATGGGACCCCATCTCTATAAAAAACAAAATAGGCCAGGCGCAGTGGCTCACGCCTATGATCCCAGCACTTTGGGAGGCCAAGGCAGATGGATTGCTTGAAGTCAGGTGTTTGAGACCAGCCTGACTAACATGGTAAAACCCCTCCTCTACTAAAAATACAAAAATTAGCCAGGCCTGGTGCCATGCGCCTGTAATCCCAGCTATCTGGAAGGCTGAGGCACAAGAATCACTTGAACCTGGGAGGTAGAGGTTGCAGTGAGCCGTGATTGTGCCGCTGCACTCGAGCCTGGGAGACAGAACAAGACTCAGTCTCAAAATAAACAAACAAACAAATAAACAATAAAATTAAATTAGTTGGGCATGGTGGCACACACCTGTAGTCTCAGATACTCAGGAGGCTGAGGTAGGAGGATCACTTGAGCCCAGGAGCTCGAGGCTGCAGTGATCCTTGACTGTTCCACTGCACCCCAGCCTGGGCAACACAGCACCACCCAGTCTCAGAAAATTGATTTATCTTCATCCACCTAAGCAGCCCAAAGCTGAAAGGCCAGGCTCCCAGGAAAGCACAGTTATTGCCACGTGTCTCAGGGAATGGGAGGCAGAGGGCACAGTAGGAGTTTCAGAGGGTTTGGGGTTGTTTTCGGGTTATTTCTTAAAATGAGAAACACCAAGTTTTAAAAGCAATCCATAGGAAAATTTGACAGAAAAAGCGAAAAAAAAAGAAGTCGTTTTAAGTAATACGGCCTCCACAGAAATGTACATTTTAGCCGCTTTCTGCTTAAAAAATGTTTTTTTTTTTTAATTCCCAGAATGTGTTGACCCTTTGCAAAGCCTACCCTGATACTCATTTCACTAGATTAAAAAATCAAAGGGAGACCTTTACAATTATTGTTTCCTTGTTCACTTGCAGAACAAACAGAAAAGAGCTCTGAAAGGTAGGAAGATATCCCTGGTCAGAATGACCCTCTGGAAATCAAAGCCCAAAGCTTCAGGGCTATGAAGATAAAGCAGAACAAAGGGAAAGGAGAGAGGAGAGGGAAAGAAAGAAAGAAAGAAAAGAGAAAAGGACATGGGTCATGGTGCCAGGAATTTGGAAACCGGCACCTTTGCAATTTTGAGACCCTGGTGGGCCGGAGCAAGGGTGTCCTGGGGGTCTGGCCCAGCTGAATCACCAGGCCAGCTTCTCCACCTGGTAGAGATAACCCGACCACCACCTGCCTCCTGCTCCACCCTCAGACACGTACGGCTTGGACTCGTGGGGGTTGGGGTTGGGCACAGGGTCCGTGAGCCGCAGCTCGAATTCGGCACAGCGCAGGTGCGTCTCGCGGTAGTGCTGGATGAGGGCGTAGATGCTGCTGAAGGTGAGGTTGTCAGTCAGGTAGTACTTCAGGGTCCCATTCTCCATGGTGGAGCGTATCCGGCAGTGCTGGACCCGGCCTGACCGCCTGCAGAGAGAGGATGCCATCAGTGCTGGGAGAGGACACGCAGGGCCATTGCCACAGCCAAGGCCTCAGAAGCGGAGACATCACATGCAGCCACACGACCTTCCCTCTGCTCCCAGAGCAGACACAGGAGGCCCGGCACAGTGGCTCACGCCTGTAATCCCAACACTTTGGGAGGCCAAGATGGGTGGATTACCTGAGGTCAGGAGTTCAAGACCAGCTGGCCAACACAGTGACATCTCATCTCTACTAAAAATACAAAAATCAGCCGAGGGTGGTGGCGCTTGCCTGTAATCCGAGCTACTAGGGAGGCTGAGGCAGGAGAATCGCTTATACCTGGGAGGTGGAGGTTGCAGTGAGCCAAGATCACATCACTGCACTCCAGCCTGGGAAACACAGCAAAACTCCACCTCAAAAAACTAAATAAGTAAAGACACAGGGCCTACACCCTGAGCCTGGATTCCAGAACATTCTACCTACTTCCCCCACCTCCCAACACCCCCTTTAATCTACGGCTTCTCTAGAGCCAGGATGCCTGGATTCAAATCCCAGCTCTGCCACGTATGAGCCAAGTGTCCCAGAGCAGGTCACCCATCCTATCTGAGCCGTGGTGTTATTATCACCCTAGAGGTCTGACAGGGACAGTAAGTCTGGCCACCCCAAAGAGGCGTCCCGAAGAGTAAACGAGACCACATATACACGGTGTCTGGAATGCTGCCCTGCACACAGTAAGCATCACTTTGGCGTCCACTACTACTAGTATTTACATGTTATTAGTATGCTAATTTTCAGCCAGGTGCACTGGCTTACAGCTGTAATCCCAGCACTTTAGAAGGCCGAGACCAGAGGATTGCTTGAGCTGAGTTCGAAACCAGCCTGGGCAACACAGTGAGACCCCAGCTCTACAAAAAATTTTAAAAATTATCCAGGTCTAGTGGCATGTGTCTGTAGTCTCAGCTACTTAGGAGGCTGAGGTAGGAGGATTGCTTGAGCCCAGGAGTTTGAGGCTTCAGCGAACTGAGATCACACCACTATACTACAACCTAGGCAACAGAGCAAGACCCTATCACCATTTTTTTTAAGTGACAGTATTATAATTTCCCTCCTTCAGGTCTTGCCTTATTTCAGGAAGGTTTTCCTGACCATTCCTCACATCATGGCATCAGAGCCTTCTCTCACAGACTTTCATAAATCCCCCCAACTCACATTAAACCGCCTCAATAAAGGGAGGGATGTCCCTTTATCTTGCCTTGTTTCACTGCACTCATCACAACTATACTTGTATATCATTTGTTTGACTACTTTTTCACTGCCCATCTCCCTCAAAAGAGAACATAATGTCCAGGAGGACAAAGACATTGTCTGTCTGGTGTAAGTACTGCGCCTAGCACAGAGTACGCCTTCAAGAAGTGTCTTTTAATGCACGGAGACATGGATGAGTGAGTGGACAAATGAACGCACAAGCTCATCACAGTCCATGACAGCTTCGTAAAAACAGCCCTACAGTCCCCCTTTTACAGAGGAGACAGAGATGCTAGGAGTTTGGCTGAATCATCCAGAACCACTGGACCCACTCCAGGGCCGGGATCGGGGAGGTGAGTGAGGCCTCATCATCTAAGACTGGGGTCAAATGCTGTCTTTCTTTAAAATGTTGATATTTTGTTCACTACGGACTTTTTTGCATTCCTTTTGATTTTTAAAAATATTGCCTTGAAATCTCACTAATCTGGATTACTGTGCCCAGGTGAGTCACACCCAGCTCATCCTTCTCCCGGCCTAGCAGAGCCCAACAAATGAAGGCTGGGTTTCGGGTCTCAACCTACGATTCCTACCTGAGCTAGAGCCACTCACCACCCCACCTCATCTGGCCAGTGTGGAGGAGAAGGTAGGCATTCCCTGGGTCAGGGACGTTACCAGAAGGACAGAGTGTAGTCATTGGGGAAGGTCTCGCTCTCCCGAACCAGGAAGGTGCCATCCTTGCCCCCTGTCTCCATGCAGTATTCCTGCAGCAACTTCTCAGCACTCGTCCTCTTCTCCACCTTCTTGTGGAACCATTTCTCCCCAAAATGCAGCTCTGTTGGGGGTATATCCTGGGCCACAAAGAGAGGAGGGGTTTCTGAAAGCCTTGGACCAAACCCCAGTATCACTAGACAAGCACCTCTGCCTCACCTTGACCCAGGGCACCAGATAACATAGACAGGCCAGCTCAGCCAGTCCTCACTCAAAGAAGTCCGGGAAAACAGCACCCACAATCCTCCTCCGTGTGCCTCCCCACTCCTGAGAGCCCTCATTTATGGTGGCCTCCTGGCATTTTGAGACATGGAGTGAGGGGTTTCCAGCACAGCCCTCCATTCTGTTCTTTGGAAGTCTCAGAGCCATGATGCCCTGGGGCTACAGAAAGAAACAGTGGGAAAGATGACCACAACTGGAGAAGAGGGGAACAGCAAATCTGGGACCAACCCAGAACATCGGCCTCCATCTAAGGCCAATCAGGCACTTCAGAGAATAGGAAAGCATCTTGAACATCATTGGTTAAAGCACCTAGTGGAGCCAGCCAATCAGAGACAAGCTAGCCGGGCCATGGTACCCAGAGTAGCAGCAGCATCTTCAGGTGAGAATCCTCTTGCAGCTGGCCAGAGAAGCCACATGGGAAGGAGGTCCCAGGGGCTGGCTGCTCCTTGGGAGCCCCTGGGGACCTCCTCCCTATGTGGCTAGGGCCTCCCCCTACCTGGGGCACTTCCTCCTCCACAGTCTGTTCAATGTCATCACTGAAGGACAGCTTGGCATCGGCGATGGCGCAGTAGTGCCGAGTCCATTTCTAGAAAGTAAAACTGGTATTAGTGCCCCCCAAAGTCTCTACCTCATGAACTCTGGTGCCCAGGAGCCCTGCAGGGCATCACCCCAGCATCTACCATGGATGTGCTTTTCCCAGTTCCATAGACATTTGTGGTGACTTCACTGAATTCAATTCCCTTCAAGGCATTTCTTTTTTAAAACATTGATGTGTTTGTTTTGAACTTCTTTCAGTATTTTTTTGGACTTTTAAAATCCATGTGTCTAAGGTAGGTACAACTCCTCATTATTTCCTTTTCTATTCCATCTACCTTTTGAGGCTTTCAGGATTTTCTGGCCAGTTTGCTAGAAACCTTACCTTCAACATTTACTTGTGATTTAATTCCTTTTTTTTTTTGAGACAGAGTCTCACTCTGTCAGGAGGCTGGAGTGCAGTGGTGTGATATCTTGGCTCACTGAAACCTCTGCCTCCCGGCTTCAAGCGATTCTCCTGCTTCAACCTCCCAAGTAGTTGGGATTACAGGTGCACATCATCATGCCCAGCTAATTTTTGTATTTTTAGTAGAGACAGGGTTTCACCATGTTGGCCAGGATGGTCTCAATCTCCTGACCTTGTGATCTGCCCGCCTTGGCCTCCCAAGGTGCTAGGATTACAGGCATGAGCTACCACGCCTGGCCCAACTTAATTCTTTGTTTTTTTTTTTTTTTTTTTTTTTTTTTTTTTTTTTGGCCAGGCATGGTGGCCCACGCCGGTAATTCCAGCATTTTGGGAGGCCGAGGTGGGCGGATCACTTGAGATCAGGAGTTCAAGACCAGTCTGGCCAACATGGTGAGACACCATTTCTACTAAGACTATAAAAATGAGCAGGGTGTGGTGGTGCACACCTGTGGTCCCAGCTACTCAGGAAGCTGAGGCACAAGAATCACTTGAACCTGGTAGGTGGAGTTTGCGGTGAGCTGAGATTGTACCACTGCACTCTAGCCGGAGCAATGGAGCAAGACTATCTAAAATAAATAAATATTGCTGTTGATATAACGGTATCTAGGATATAAGAACAGACAAGTAAAAATATAGTGAAAATGGATATACACGACAGGTAAAGGGATAGAAGCAGCATTACAGCCTGAAAAATAAGGTTTCTGGTGGAACGACCCTAGACTGGGGGACATGAGGGAGTCAGGACAAACTAAACGCACAGAAGCACCAGGTACTGGATCCTGGACCAGAAAACAAGCCCAAGTGGACACAGTGGTAACAGTGAAATAAAGTCTATAAACTAGTTATTAGTATTCTACCAATGTCAGTTTCCTGATTGTGCCGATTATGCTATGGTTATGTAGGATGTTATTAATAATATTTGGAGAAGCTGGGTAAGGGTAGATGGAAGTATCCCATACTATTTGTGTGTGTACATAAACATATTACATTGAATCTAAAATTATTTCAAAATAAAACATTAAAAATGCAAAAGGAAGGCCGGGCTTCCTTTGGGAAGCCGTGGTGGCTCACACCTGTAATCCCAACACTATGGGAGGCCAAGGCAGGCAGATCATGAGGTCAGGAGATCAAGACCATCCTGGCTAACACGGTGAAACCCTGTCTCTACTAAAAATTAAAAATTAGCCGGGCATGCTGTTGCACACCTGTAGTCCCAGCTACTCGGGAGGCTGAGGCAGGAGAATTGTATGAACCTGGAAAGTGGAGGGTGCAGTGAACCGAGATGCACTTCAGCCTGGGCAGCAGAGTGAGACTCCGCTTAAAAAAAAAAAAAAAGGAAAAGAAAAATAATGTCGGCCAGGCTTAGTGGCTCACACCTAGAATCTCAGCACTTTGGGAGGCCAAGGCAGGAGGATCGCTTGAGCCCAGGAGTTTGAAATCAGCCTAGGCAACATGACTAAATCCTATCTCTGCAAAAATACAAAACATCAGCCTGGGCCACTGGTGGTGCGCACCTGCTGTCCCAGTGACTCAGGGAGGCTGAGGCGGGAGGATCACTTGAGCCTCAGAGGTCAAGACTGCAGTGAGCCGTGATCACACCACTGCCCTCCAGCCTGGGCGACAGAGTGAGACCCTGTCCCACAAAACAAATAAATAAAGTTTAAGTAGGAAAGTAAATCTGCATGGCAAAAACTGACTTGACTGAAAATGGGAGTAAGACAGGCATATTCTGAGCTCCCAGCAGGGCTCCGAGAAGTAGCTGTGAGTGCGGTGGCCACAGTGGCTGCGGGAAGGGACCGACGCCCACCTGGTCGATGGAATCCCACATGTACAGCTCTCCCTGTTGCTTGTGTTCATCCTTCTTGTCCTCCACGTTGACATCCACGTCACCTCGGGGGCCCAGCTTCTTATGCTGAGGAGAAAACATACACACAGGCTGTCTCCACAGAGACCCAAGTTTAGGTCTTCGAGCCAACAGCCTTCATCTGCCTCTTCCCACCCAGGGCCTTTGCACTGCCTGGCCTCACCCTCAGGCTGTTCAGCTCTGCACTCCAGGTTACCTTGAACGAGGAAGGAGAGCTTTTCTTACAGCTTGATCTAAAAATAGCCCATACCTGCTGGGTGCAAGTGGCTCACTCCTATAATCCCATCACTTTGAGAGGCTGAAGCAGACAGATCACTTGAGTTCAGGGGTTTGAGACCAGCCAGGCCAACATGGCGAAAACCCATCCCTACAAAACTACAAAAATCAGCTGAGTGTGGTGGCACATGCCTGTAATCCCAGCTACTTGGGAGGCTGAAACAGGAAGATCGCTTGAACCTGGGAGGTGGAGGTTGCAGAGAGCTGAGACTGCGCCACTGCACTCCAGCCTGGGTGACAGAGCAAGACTCTGTCCCAATAAAATAAAGTAAAATACATAAAAATGAAACAAAATAAATAAAAATAGCCCACACTCCCCTTCCCGCCCTGCCACTCTCTAGCCCCCGGCCAGCTTTATTCATCGCACATTCCTAGCCCCACACACACCATGTGTTTGTCTTCTGTCTTCCCTGCTAGAATATAAGCCCCATGAGGGAAGGGTTGCTCTTTTGCTTGCAGTTGAGTCTCCTGTGCTAGAAGAGCACTTGGCAGACAGTAAGTGCTTGGTAGACACTCAGTGAATAAATGACACCCCATGTGCCCAGCCTTCCCCAGCACACAGGGGGAAAGGCAGGCTGCAGTCCAGAGGGAACAGGCGGGACCCACTGGAGATTAGACTAAGGTGACCTGGGTGCAAACAGCACTGCAGCTATTCTACCAGCTGGGTGACCCCAGGCAAGTGGCTGCACTTCTCTGATCCTAAGCCTTCTTATCTGCAAGATTAAGACAGTGACGATAACTGGTCTCCCATTCAGCCAAGAGTCTATAAGCTGAGGGTCATGTAACCTGGCAAAGAAGCTCAGGATGAGAGTCAGATCCAGATTTGAATTCAGGGCCTATTACCTTACCGGCCATGTGACCTTGGCTGAGTCATCATCAGAGTCTCAGTCATCTGTCTCGTAAAATGGGGATGTGACAGACCCTGTGGGATCCCATAAGTCAAAGAACATGAAAGGTAAGTGTCAACAGTGAGGCAGGACCTCAGTGTCCTAAATGGCAGCATGATAAAGACGTGGGAAAACAGGCTTTGAGGGCAGACCACCTTGGCCTTGAATAATTTCCTCAGCAAACAGTAAATGTGTGACCCTGGCTGAGCTACTGAACCTCTGAACCTCAATGTCCCCATCTGTAAAGTGGGCTAGGGCTGAGGTTATTCATCCTGCAGTGTCGTGACAAGGCTGAATAAGAAGATATGTATGACCGTGCCTAGCCTGGTGCATGATACACAGTGACTGTGTGGCCAATGTTGTTTCCACCCCATTTCTTGAAATAGAAAGAAGTGAGCCACAGTGTATCAGGAGTGGGGAACGGGGTGCTCTAAAAGGGGCCTTCAGTATTTCACATCCCAGAACAAGAGCTGAAAAATCCCCGGGAACATACAGCAAACCATCTAATGGAAACAGAAGGAACGAGCTGGGAGCAGGGAAGAGCAAATGCAACTAGGTTGCCCTAAAGACTCACCCACCAGGTGACAGAGAAGCCACGGACCCTCCATGGCTGAGCTCCCTCCACCCCTTATCCTGCCTTCACCATGCTGGAATCAGCCCTTGGCATCCCGGAAACAACTGCCTAGGTGCAAACGGCACTGCAACTGTTTTGTTCATTGTGACCCCGGGCAGGTGGCTGCACTTCTCCATGCCTCACACTTCTCATCTGCAAGACTAAGACAATGACAGCTGATCTCCCGCTTTGGAAAACATTTGTATCTTGAGGGTCATGGTCTTAGTCAAACACTCCCCATACACTGACGCTCTTACCCATAGGAGCACCAAAATCCCTCCTCTGGTTGGGCATGGCCAAAGCTCCTTGTACTGTTTGGTGTTTCTCTGTGGATGGGTTTGTCTCCCTACCAAACCATGACCTCCTGGAACATAAGGGTTGTGCCCAATACATCTTGGTGGCCCAGTGACAATTTAGGGTACATACCACATGTTGACACCACCACACCCTTGTGTGTGTTATTCCTCCAACCTAGAAGGACATACCCCTTCTCTGCCTATTGCTATGGTCTGAATGTCTGTGTCCTCCCAAAATTTATAATGTTGAAACCTAATCCCCAATGTAATGGCATTTGGAGATGGTGGCTCTGGAAGGTGATAGGGTTTGGCTGTGTCCTCACCCAAATCTCATCTTGAATTGTAGCTCCAATAATTCGCATGTGTCATGGGAGGAACCTGGTGGGAGGTAACTGAATCATGGGGGCAGGTCTTTCCCATGCTGTTCTCGTGATAGTGAACAAGTCTAATGAGATCTGGTTTTATATATGGGAGTTTCCCTGCACAAGCTGTCTTGCCTGCCACCATGTAAGATGTGACTTTGCTCCTCCTTTGTCTTCTGCCATGATTGTGAGGCCTCCCCATGTGGAAATGTGCATCCATTAAGCCTCTTTCCTTTATAAATTACCCAGTCTCAGGTAAGTCTTTATTAGCAGTGTGAGAATAGATAACACAGAAGGTGATTAGGTATGAGGGTAGAGCCCTTATGAAGGAGAATGGTGGCCTTACAAAAGAGGCTCCAGATATCTTCATGTCCCAGATGGCTGTTTATTAATAAATGAAAATTTAAAAATAACAGAAGCCCCAGAGCTCACCCCTTCCACCACGGAAGACACAACTAGAAGTCAGCCTCCTAAAACCTGGAAGACGACTCTCATACCAACATCCTGACCTTCAACTTCCAGCCTCCAGAGCAGTGAGAAATCAGTTCCTGTTGTTCATAAGCCACTCAGCTTATGGTATTTTGTGATAGCTGCCTGCATGGACTGAGATACCTAGGAAACAGCTGCTCATCCTTTCCCATGAGCTTGTGGAAAGTCAACAAAATTCACACTTGCTCCTTCAATGAAAGGCTGCCCTGCCAAGGACTCCAGGTTCCACTGCCCTTGCAGGTAACTTGACTAAGTTCTCATGCACAGAACAGAAGAGGAAAGGATGGCACATCTGACATGTGCTTGCTTACCAGAAACCATTTGCTTTGGACATGCTTGGACTTCCCGTGCTCTGAGCTGGAACTCAGATGTGCCTGAGACCCAGCCTCTCCCACACAAACAAGGACAAAGCCCCTTCACCATTTTTATGTCATGAGATCCTTCAAAATCTGGGGAAGGCTACAGGCCCCTTTCTCAGAATATTAATAATATGTAAAATTACAAAGGAAACTCGATTATATTGAAATACGATTAAGATATTAAGCAAGTATTTGCAATACACTAATAGATGTGTTTCTTTATTAACATCTTAAATAAGATCTAGAGGCAGATCTAATAACCTCCATAATTCCAAAGTGGTGACGAGCATAACATTATTTTGAAATATTTGCAGCAACTGTAAATGTGATATGAAAATACTCATGACTTCGGCTGGTGACAGAGCCCCCAAGTGGCTTGTCGCCAACGTTCATAATGGAAGGAAGTATTAAATTTTATGTACAGGTTAATTAAAGGTATAACTTTTTTTCTGCTGAAGTTCATGTGCCCCTCTGATTCTAACCGTGGATTCTTTGCGGGTCTGTGAAACCCCGGTTGAAAACTGCTTCCCTGAGAGATGGTAGAGCAGAATGTGGGGCCCTGGAACCCTCAGTCACCTTGTGGGCTAGAGCTCAAAACTCCCAGAATGTTCTCCCTCCCATGGGGAAGAAATAAACTCTTATATGCTTTAAGCCACTGCATATCTGGTCGTTTCATCCCAATAACTCCAAAATCCAAATGTTACTGTGGCATCCCTAGGCAGATATAATCACACATCTCCCCTGCAGCACTGGGAACGTCAGCTCTATTGCTGCACTCAGCCTTTTCTAGCAACTGCTTGCCTCCCACACCCAGCTGGAAGCTCCAATCACAGGAACAGCCCCCAGGTCACTGGACACCTCCAGCACCTCACATAGGGCTGAGAGGGGTGTGAGGAAGGTTCACCAATGAACGAATAAACCATAACAAGTGAGCACTTAATGTAGCACCAGCCACAGGACGGGCGCAGTTCCACATATTCTGCACACCTTTCCTCACATCATGCTCCCAGCAAGCTAGCCAGGTGGATTCCAGTGTTATTTCTCCCAGAGACTGGTGAGAACAGAGGCTCTGAAAGGTTAATGACTTTGCCTGGGGTCACAGTGTTAGTAAGGAAAGCAGGTTTGAGCCTCTGCAGTGGGATCTGGAGCAGGGTCAGTAGGACACAGAGCTTGGTGAATGGGACCTGGAGCCGGGAACCAAGCCACTGGGCTCCCTGGACAGCTGACGGCAGCACCCAGAGTGCCTACCTTGATGATGATCTTCTCCCGCAGCTGGCTGGGTGAGGGCAGCTGGTCAGCGCTGGCCTCCGTGGGCTTCATCAGAAGAAGGTCGCCAAATACGTCTTTGAAGACCTTGGCCATGTGGCGCTGCTGCTCCACGCTGCAATGCTCCTCAATGGACAGGATCACTGGGAAGCTGCGGGTGGAAGACGGTGGGCAGCTCGGCAGGGGGAGCGCACATCTCTGCATCTGCCCCACAGAGGGACCAGGGCAGCTCAGCCCTGGGGCAACAGAAACTGGGTGTTGCTAGGGGCATGTCCCCCACACCTGCCCTCCCAGAAGGAGAGGACCTCATCCTGGGTGTGGTGGCTGGAGCCCTGGGAGTCAGAACAGCTGTGATCTGATTCGGGCACTTCCCCACACCCCAGAATGCACTGCTTCCCCTCATCCCAGAATGCACTGCTTCCCTACACCCCACAATGCACTGCTTTCCCACACCCCACAATGCACTGCTTTCCCACACCCCACAATGCACTGCTTCCTACACCCCACAATGTACTTTTTCTCTTTTTTTCCATCCACTCATGTCTTTAAACTTACAGAAAGAAGTCTCTAATTATTTTTTATTTCAAACCTACAGACAAGATGAAAACAAAGTGCAATGAGCACCCATGTATGCTTCACCTAGGGTCACCGACACTGACACTGTTCCATGAGCGCGTCTACCTACTTTGGCATATTTATTTTCTGTATTTATAAAGGGTATTGGTTTTATATATTCTTATTCATATGCACACACAGGTAATTTATATATATATATATATATATATATAGGCATACGTTACTTGTATATATGTATATAAGGTGTCTGTATATTTACAGATCATTTGTGTGTGTGTATCCACAGTTGATTTTTGTTATCTTTGAGGGTTATGGTCCATAAAGTCACCACCAACAGTGACTGGTAAAAACCTGAGCCATTGCTCCTAAGGGGAAAAACAAGGTCAGGGCCTTTTGAGTCTGTGGTCACAATATTTTCCTCAGCTGATCAATATCTGACCTTGTTTTATGTGTGCTTCTGTTTACAGATATATGATTTGGTACATTCTGTTGATTGACATTGGGCTCACAGCCAGCATCACTGTAATTCATGCCTGAACAAGGTGTATCTGACACAGGTGTTTTCTCCATAAGGCACATCACAGCTTTCTAGGGCTCAGGAACACCAGACAGCTCTTCAGCACTGTGCTTTGGGCCATTTGTACAGCAAAATCACTAAGGTAAGACTCAAAAACAGGAAAAATGTGGCACTCAACAGATGGTGAGAGGACACTTGTTGAAGCTTTCATGCTGTAGACAAAGAAGGGGAGCGCTGCTTTGCTCGGCCTCAGCCGAACACGTGTACATGGCCTGGGTCTCATTTTCCACACTGTATGTGTGTCTGAAAATCACCTCAGAGTGCTTTGAGATTTGATTTGGGGTTACAAGAAAATTTTAGCGAGTGGGCAAATTCACAGTTACAGAATCCACCAATAAAGATCACCTGTATCCTTCCATATCATGTGAACGTGTGTGTATGTATACATTCACATATCAGTAGTGTGTATACATATATATGCCTATAAATACATATATACACACACCTACTCCTCCTGAGGGAAGAGAAAAATCGATTTTTTTTTTCTTTTTTGAGACGGAGTTTCGCTTGTTGCCCAGGCTAGAGTACAGTGGTGCAACCTTGGCTCATTGCAACCTCTGCCTCTCAGATTCAAGTGATTCTCCTGACTCAGCCTCCTGGGCAGCTGGGGTTACAGGTTCCCGTTGGCATGCCCAGCTAATTTTTTGTATTTTTAGTAGAGATGGGGTTTCACCATGATGGCCAGGCTGGTCTCGAAATCCTCACCTCAGGTGATCCACCCGCCTTAGGCTCCCAAAGTGCTGGGATTACAGGCGTGAGTCACCGCACCCAGCCTATGTTTATACTTCATTTGCACATGTATTTACATTTCCTCTTGAACCATCTGAAATGAAGTGCAGACATCCTCCACAGGTATCTCTTAAGAACAAGAACATCCCATGACATAACCACATCATATCACCTCAGGAAATTATCTCTAATTAATGATCATTAGACATATAGTCCATATTCAAACTTCTCCAATTATCCAAGAAATACAGGGTATAGATGGGGTTTTTCCCCACCGAGAATCCATTTGAGGCTTACGCATTGCATTATCATGAAACAAAAGTATTCTAAAGGCAGCTGTGTCACTTCCAACAACAGGAAACCACATCGCTCGATAGAAAAGAAGGGAAAGTCAAAAATAAACAGATGGTGTTAAAAATAAAATCCTTAATCATGTTTCAGCTCAAGTAAATCACGGCCTCATCACTCCTGGGAAGCATGATCTAACCCACTCCTCCAACCTGGTCCACACACCCTCAGTAGAACGCAACAGCTCAAAAGCTTTTAAAACAAAGGGTACCTAGTAAGTTGGTATCAAACTCAACTGGCAGCAAAATCTGAACTATGTGAATGAACACTGCTTGCAATCATTTCTTTAAATTCCTCTTAATACCAATAAGGATGCATTTTGCTGCAAAAACATTAATGCATTAATGTTTGATTGAAGAGTTCTAGCCCTACAGGTGTTACATGATTCCAGGCCTATTTTAGCCAGAAAAAAAACTTCCTCTAGCCACAAATGAAATAATGTTTTATGAACAACTATCAACTCACAACCATAAGCACTTATGTCCTGAAAATGAAAGCAAATTCTCAAAGCAGTAAGAAGCCACCCAACGGCCTCTGTTAATACAGGCTCCTTCCAACTGCCTGGTGGAGGTCGGCACTGAGAAGGGTTAGGGCCCTCCCTAAGAGGGAGAATGCTGTGATGGAGAAATCATAAGCCTTCATTTAAAGGTTTTCGCCAAGTGGGAAAAGACATCCATAATTCATAATTGCATGGTCTCAGAGCAACACCTCCCCCCAGCTCCAGGGATTTCTGTAGTCAGTGCAATAAAAACAACCCATCAGGCAGGGCACAGTGGCTCACACCTATAATCCCAGCACTTTGGGAGGCCAAGACAGGAGGATCACCTGAGGTCAGGAGTTCAACACGAGGCTGGCCAACATAGTGAAACCCTGACTCTATAAAAATACAAAAATTAACCAGGCATGATGGCAGGTGCCTGTCATCCCAGCTACTCGGGAGGCTGAGGCAGGGGAATTGCTTTAACTGGGAAGGTGAAGCCGAGACTCTGCCATTGCACTCTAACCTGAGTGACAGAATAAGACTCCATTTCAAAAAAAAAGAAAGAAAAAAACCAATCATATTGACTGAACACTAACTCTATTCCAGGTGCAGGATTAAGCACTTGCTATATGGCATCTCATTTAATCTTCACAACTACCCTGTGAGGTACACACAATTATCACCTCTATTTTTTTTTTTTTTTTTGAGACAGAGTCTTGCTCTTGTTGCCCAGGCTGGAGTGCAATGGCACCATCTCAGCTCACCACAATCTCTGCCTCCCAGGTTCAAGCGATTCTCCTGCCTCAGCCTCCCAAGTAGCTGAGACTACAGGTACCCACCACCATGCCCAACTTATTTTTTGTATTTTTAGTAGAAACAAGCGTGCTCCATGTTGGTCAGGCTGGCCTCGAACTCCTGACTTCAGGCGATCCTCCCACCTCGGCCTCCCAAAAGTGCTAGGGCTATAGGTGTGAGCTACCACGCCCGGCGATGGCCTTTCTTTTTTAACGTGGGAATTGAAGCACAGAACTATAATTGCTTTGCCCAAGCTAGTACTTAACAGCTGGATTCAAATTGAGCAAGAAGGACTCAGAACCCATACTTGTAAGTGCTAAGCTATCCCAGAAGGAACAAAAAGACAACTGTCATTCCACTGTGGCTATAGAAGGCCTCTTGCCAGCTCTCAGAGATAGTAAGGAACCTAGACCAGGAGTCGGCATATTATGGCCTCCACCCCAAACCTGGCCTGCATCTATTTTTGTAATTTGTAGTTCCAGTTTTAACTGGAGCACAGCCAGGCCCATCTGTTTACCTCTTGGCCATGGCCGCTTTTGCACTTCAGCAACAGGGCTGAATTGCTGCAACAGAGACCACAGGGCCCAGAAAACCTGAAATATTTCCATCAGGCCCTTTGCAGAACAATTTCATTGACCTCCAGCCCAGACAAAGGTCTTCTGGTGGGACAGAAAAGAATCAGACCTGGGGTCAAAAACCCTTGAAATGAACCTAAATGTTCTCACCCACTTAACGTCTACTTGCCCTAGATGACTCATCTATTAAATGAGGATGACCAGGTCCACTTTCTGGCAAAGAATCCAGATGATCACATGTACAAAGCGCCTAGCACAGAGCCTGGCCCAAGGGGGTATTCAAGAAATACGAACACCCCCGACAGCACCACCACTACTGGTTGCTGGGATTCCGCCTGTAGAACTGGGCAGAAAAGACAGAATTAGAACAGAAGGGGAATTTTAGCTTTCCTTGTCTTTTCTTGTCTCTTTCTCTCTCTCTCTGTTTTATTATTTACTTATTTTTTTGGAGACGGTCTCCTTCTGTTGCCCAGGCTGGAATACAGCGGTGCAATCTCAGCTCACCGCAACCTCTGCCTCCCAGGTTCAGGTAGTCCTCCCGCCTCTACCTCCCAAGTAGCTGGGACTACAGGCACATGACACTGAGCTAGGCTAATTTTTTTTTTTTTTTTTTTTTTTTTTTTGTATTTTTGATAGAGACAGGGTTTCACCATGTTGCCCAGGCTCTTCTCAAACTCCTGACCTCAAGTGACCACACCTCAGCCTCCCAAACTGCTGGGATTACGGGCATGAGCCAGTGTGCCTGGCCTTTCTTTCTCTCTTGAGGGTTCTGAAAGTGGGGGCCAGGCACAATGAGGAGGTGGGCAGGAGCACTAAGCAGCCACAGGGTTCCCTAGCCAGAGCCTCCTCAGGACTCTAGAGCCAGGGAGCAACTTGAACTCTTGGCCTGCAGGGGGCGCCAACACATGGGTGAGGACTTGATGGCAATGGCTTCTGTCAACATGGAGCCCAGTCCTTCATGAGTTTGAAGGGAGGCGTCTATGCGTGTTTGCCAGTCTTCCCATCTGCCCATCCCACCCTACCTGCTTTCCCCTTTAAGTCAAACCACCCAGAAATCAGCCAACTGACCTTGAGGTCACAAAGGCGTGGTCCTTGATGGCCTGCACGACGTCATCAAACTTGATTTTGGTGGTCCGCGTCCAGCCGTGGTAGATGACCGGCCTGCCATCAGGCCCGTCCCAGCAGTCCACTACAGGGAGAAACGCACAGCCTCAACGCCACGTGTGATCACCCACAGCCCCAAGGTCAGCCCTCGGCCCACGTGTCAATTCAGTTACTAGACACGGACGTCCAGGCTCCCTCCACTCCACGGCCAACACGAGGACGTGGGTCTCCCTGTGGTCTTACATAATATAGGCAGCTGTCCAAGACAAGCTACTTTCAACACTTCTTTTTAAAGAAGGTTTTACCACGTGTTTTATTTTCTGACTTCACCTGTTGAAAACCCTGACTACCTCTTCTGCCCGTGGAAATAATACAGAGCAATGAGAAATGTATGTGTAAAGGTTCACAGTAAAATTTTCAAACAGAAATGGGTCATGTGGAAGGTGAACAGCCCCCATCTTTTTGACTCCTGGGGGGCCCAGGAGCTGACTGCTTCTAGCTTTACTTTTAAACATTTGCTTTTTCCTGCGGGAGGTGAAAATCATAAATGAAAAAAGAGTCTATGGAATAACTGCTACAAAACACTGCTTCCATGATGAGTGCTTTTGGTAGCACTAGTGCGTAACTCAACGGTGGTTGCCTTTTCCTTTTCTTTTTTTTTTTTTTTTTTTTTTTTTTTTTTTTTTGAGACAGAGACTCCTTCTGTTGCCCAAGCTAGAAGGCAGTGGTGCGATCTCAGCTCACTGCAACCTCTGCCTCCCGGACTCAAGCGATTCTTATGCCTCCGCCTCCCAGGTAGCTGGGATTACGGATGTGAACTACCACACCCAACCAATTTTTGTATTTAGGGATGCGGTTTCACCATGCTGGCCAGATGGTCTCAAACTCCTGACCTCAAGTGATCCACCCGCCTCGACCTCTCACAGTGCTGAGATTCCAGGCGTGAAACACCACACCCAGCCAGTTGTTGCCTTTTCTCCGCCAAATGCACCCATGAACCTTTGGTGAGAAGGAGGCTGGAAGGAAAGAGCCTTCCAGCCTACCCGGAAAGGAGCCAGATAAGCTAAGAGAAGGAAGAAGGGAAATAAGGCCTCTGACATCTGCCCAGCCACACATGCCAACTGACCCTTCTTTTCTGTTGAGACACAGAGTCTCACTCTGTTGCCCAGGCTATAGTGAAGTGGCACAATCACAGCTCATGACAGCCTCTACCTCCTAGGCTCAAGCAATCCTCCCACCTCAGCCTCCCAAGTAGCTGGGACCACAGGTGCACACCATCACACACAGCTAATTTTTTTTACTTTTTGTAATGACAGGATCTCGCCATGTCGCCCAGGCTGGTCTCAAACTATTGGCCTCATGCAATCCTCCCACTTCAGCCTCCCAAAGTGCTGGTATTACAGGCATGAGCCACTGTATCCAGCCCTGATGTTTCTTTTTCACAGTTGCTCACAGACCCCCCATCCAGGTGATACGGTGTACCTGAGCACACCTAGGACCCAGCTGCCAAAACACAGCAGGTGTCTGCCTTCCTCTAATACCAGCCCAGGAAGATGCTGAGAAGATACAGAGGACAGGACCTCTGTCTCAAAAACAAAATAAGAAAAAGAAACATCACACTCTAACTCCATAAATATGCACAGCTATTTATGTGTCCACTAAAACTTCTTTAAAATTTGAAAGAAAGCACACATCAACCACATGGTTATCTTCAATTTGCCGTGAGCATGACTTCCACCAAGAAGAAGCTACTCACATTCGATGCAGCGACAGCCCATGCGCAGGCAGCGGATGTAGGCCTCTGTGGACGACTCACTCCGCAGCTGGTCACCTGTGAGGTACCTGCAGGAGATAAGGCAGGTGGCCGTGTGGGGGTGGCAACCACAGGGGCTGGGGGGAGAGCCTGCACCTCAGGGTGTCCTGGGGGAACTTCTCAGCCTGAACCCCCAAAGCTCTGAGTTCTTTCATCTAGAAAGACTCAAAGCTAAGGCCTGGGACAGATGCACAGTCCTACAGCCACACTGAACATGAGCTTTGAACTGGGGCCACAGTCGCAGAAGGTGGCTGCTGACCACCTGGGCAATGCAAGCGTGGGGTAGAGAGGACGTGCTCTTTTGAGGAGAAGCTGGTCAAGCCGCGTCAGAAGCAAAAAAGCTACAGAACATGAATTAACAAGGCCCCATGACCACCCTCGGGGTCCTCAGTCTCAACAGAGATGGGCACTTCTTTTGATATCCGGGGTCGAGGCCAGGCACAGAACAGACATTCGGCAACCGTCAGAGGAATCAGCTATTTTAGGAACAAGATCCACCAAAAACGCCGTAAAAATGACTCTTTTTATGCACTTTCTTCCTCACCATGATTCACCCCCACTTTTTTAAAGTTTGTTTTCTGAGGCCCGGCACAGTGGCTCATGTCTGTAATTCCAGCACTTTGGGAGGCTATGGTGGGTGGATCACCTGAGGTCAGGAGTTCAAGACCAGCCTGACTAACATGGTGAAATCCTGACTCTACTAAAAATACAAAAATTAGCCAGGCTTGGTGGTGGGCACCTGTAATCCCAACTATTCGGGAGGCTGAGGCAGGAAAATAGCTTGAACCTGGGAGGCAGCGGGTGTGGTGAGCTGAGACTGCACCATCACACTCAAGCCTGGGCAACAAGAGTGAAAGTCTGTCTCAAAAAAAAAAAGTTTGTGTTCCTCATACTGGGGCCTGTCAGGGGGTGGGAGAAGGGAGAGGATCAGGAAAAGTAACTAGCAGGTAGGGGGCTTAATATCCGGGTAATGATAATCTGCACAACAAACCCGTATGACACCAAGTTGACCTATGTCACAAACCTGCACATGTGCCTTTGAACCGAAAAAAAAAGTGTCTTTTTTTTTTTTTTTAAAGTTTGTATTTCTTAACTGTCTTCTAGGTTTTCTAGAATTCACCACACCGAAACACAGGCTCAACACAAACACAAACTCGTAAAACGATGGGCATAGTGAGGAAGAGACAACCATGAAATCCATTTGCCCCTGAAAGAGATTTTACCATCCCAATGCCTGGAACATAACACCGTTAAAAGCCTTTTGCCAGCCAGGCGCGGTGGCTCACGCCTGTAATCCAAGCACTTTCGGAGGCCAAGGCACATGGATCACGAGGTCAAGAGATTGAGACCATTCTGGACAACATGGTGAAACCCCATCTCTACTAAAAATACAAAAATTAGCTGGGTGTGATGGTGCGCACCTGTAATCCCAGCTACTTGGGAGCCTGAGGAAGGAGAATTGCTTGAACTACGGAGGCAGAGGTTGCAGACGACCCCCTGGAATGGCACTTAGGGAAGTCCCCACCTACAGCTCTGGGGGCCATGACCCAAGAACCTCACCCCTCACCCTGTAAGACAGACTAAATGCCAGCACTTCAGTGCAACATCCTTTATCTTCTCTCTTTTGCAGTCAGAGTAACCATCCCAAGAGACCCCTGTGAGCATCTCGCTCTCTGGTTAGAAGTCGTTAGGGTCTCCCTGACAGCTCTCACGGTGACCTACAAGATCCTGCTCCAGCTGGCCCTGTCTGCCTTCCCTACTGACACCGCTCTACTGGATTCTGCACTGTACCCTTAGCAGACTCCTCTCACTTGCTCCTGCCCCAGGGCCTTGGCACATGCTGCTCCTCTGTCTGAAACACTTCTCCTCACCTTGCCACCTGCTCCCCGCCTCTGCAAGTCCTACTCTGTGGTTAACTTTCAGTGGAGGCCTTCCTCCCAGCACATGAGGATGAGGCTGCTCCTGCCTGTTCACAGCCGCATCCCCAGCTTTAAGCAGACACAGGGTACACACTCCTTATGAATCAATTCAATGAGTCACTGAATTGCCTTGCTGTGGCCACTGTGAGATGCCCAAGTCTTGAAAAACTAAGTTTTCTAAGTTACTTTAATTACTAAGTTACTTTAAGTTACTTTCAATTTTTGTTTTTTGTTTTGCTTTGTTTTGTTTTGTTTTATGAGACAGAGTTGCACTCTTGTTGCCCAGGCTGGAGTACAATGGCCCGATCTTGGCTCACCACAACCTCCACCTCCCAGGTTCAAGTGATTCCCCTGCCTCAACCTCCCGAGTAGCTGCGATTACAGGCATGTGCCACCATGTGCAGCTAACTTCATATTTTTAGTACAGACAGGGTTTGTCCATGTTGGTCAAGCTGGTCTCAAATTCCCAACCTCAGGTGAGCCACCCACCTTGGACTCCCACAGTGCTGGGATTACAGGCATGTGCCACCATGGGTGGCTAATTTTGTATTTTAAGTAGAGACAGGGTTTCTCCATGTTAGTCAGGCTGGTCTCGAACTCTCAACCTCAGGTGATCTGCCCACTTAGGCCTCCCCCAGTGCTGAGATTACAGGCTTGAGCCACCATGCCTGGCCAAGTTACTTTCGTTTTTACTAGCTTTTTAGGGCCACAGAAAACAGATTATTATTTCAATGCCAACTGGAAAAGGGAGGTGCGTTCCCTGCTCCTTCCAGAAGCTTCTGTGTATTCTCGTCCGAGGAATATAGCACTACATCCTCCACCTGCTTCACAACATGGCTCACCAGAGCAGCGCATGGGACACCTGCCTTAACCCTCATGCGCTCTGTCTTGCCCAGCCCACCACAGGCACGTCTGAAACTCACGTGTTATGTGACGAGGAGATCCAGTAATGAGACAGGGGGTTGTTCATGTCCTGCATGTCCACAGCGTCATACTTCTCATCCCAGATGCTGTTTTCTCGTGAAAACAGGTATGTGAGGAACTAAAAGAGTCAAACACGAAGACCAAATCATGACGCTGACAGGAGGGATGGTGTCTGCTTGTTTCTGGTCTGTGCCCACCCAGGGCAAGAGGCGCTACTGAGGCATGAAATCAACAGACAATCTCCAGACCTCAGCTATCCACGTTTTCAATACAGAAGGCTCAGGCTGCAACAGGCTGCACTGACATGTTTGTTCCATGGACCTGGACAATACTTTCTTTTTTAATGTTTATCCTAAAATATTTGCTACTGCAAGGGCTTATCCTTACCATATATATGTTGTTGATGTTTTTTGTTTGTTTGTTTTTTGAGATAGATCTTACTCTGTTGCCCAGGCTGGAGTGCAGTGGCCCAATCTCGGCTCACTGCAATCTCCACCTCCTGGGCTAAACGATTCTCCAGCCTCAGCCTCCTCAGTAGCTGGGATAACAGGTGTGCACCACCACCACATCTGACTAATTTTTGTATTTTTAGTAGAGACAGAATTTTACCATGTTGGCCAGGCTGGTCTCAAACCCCTAACCTCAAGTAATCCAAACGCCTTGGCCTCCCAAAGTGCTGGGATTACAAGCATGAGCCACCACCCCCGGCCTCATATAAACGTTTTAAAGCACAAAAGCAGCATGAACATTTATAAATCCATTACCCAACTTAAGAAACAGAGTGTTACCCATATCAGAATGTTGAAAAGGCAGGAAATTTCAAGTTACAATTCCTAGTCCCTTTAACAAAAAAAAAAAAAAAAAGAAAAAAGAAAGAGAGAAAGAAAAAGAGACTTTAGCGACCTGGGCCTACTTTCGGCTGCCTGAGAACGACCTCATAGGGGGCAGGCACTCCCCAGTTCCACCTCCCCTCCATCCCTAGGACCTGCAACCACCCAGGCCCCTTCGCATTTTATTTTTGTGCTTGCAACGGTTCATCTCTCCCTGGTGGCAGATGCCCTCTAGTGGCAAAATCTATAATCCCACCCAGGCAGCATGGTCAATAGACAATAGTAAGAAAGGCTATAAAACTGCCTTTGCAAAAACCAGAACAGCAGGAAACTTAGGACAATGAAAGAGATCTGATCTAACCCACCTGTCTCTTGCCTTTAACCTCCAAACTGCCCTTAATTATTCCTGGGCTTGGGCCAAGCTAACTTTGGAAAACATTTAGTTTACAGTTTAAATGACAGCCCTTCCCCAAAGCTAAACTGCTTTTCTAAAGCTAACAAACGACCAGATCAGGAGGAGGAGAGGAGCCTGAATTCTGCTAAGATGGAAACTAACTGGTTACCAGCCATCTTTGTGGAGGTTATAAGATTCGCAACTTCCCCAGTTACTGCTACAGATAACTCTTGCGGAGCCTAAGGCTGGCCTTTTGAGACATTCTTTCGGGCATTTGCATGTCTCCACCTGGACCGCCCACTGATCGTGTGGCCCCACCCAGAAGCACACTATTTTCCACACCCATATGATTGCATCCCCAACCAATCAGCAGCAACCCTCCCGTCAAAGATGTTTTTTTTTTTAAAACCATCAGTTATTTTTGAACGTATTTAATTTATGAGAAAAAGTCTTGCATATTTGCCATTGTAATTATCATTTTTGTTACTGTGAATTTTCTGTATAATCATATTTCTTTTTTTTTTTTTTAGAGGAAGAACGAGAGAAAGA